CCGTAAGTTCTGCCGATTCCATATTCCGTTGCGCGTGAATGAATGTGCTCTCGTCAGTCCACATTATGTTAGCTAAAAAGTTAGAGTCATTAGCTACTCTGCTCAAGATCCATTGGCAGTAGGCTTCCTTGACTGGCTTATCTCTATCCAATAAAACCTGTACCTTTACATATTTGAACGACCGTTGCTTGTTTTTTCTTAATATTTTGTGAACAGTCTTGTGGTGTACACGGAATTGGCGAGCTGCTCTACGGAGACTTGAAGTTGGATTATGAGCGAAATAATTCAATATTTGTTCTTCCTGAGCCATGGCTACTCGCGGAGGAATTTCAACCTGACGCGGGATCAAATATTGACCGTCGCGTAACCTTTGGACTGCCCGTATAAAAATACGTGAGTCTGTAGGACATACACGTGTGGTATGATACCTCTCTCGATATGTTCGTAATGCCAAAGCCGCGTTTTGGTGGCACTCTCCGTAAATCAAAATCATGTCGGTGTATTCCGACGTCGTGAAATTGACACGAGGCATCTTAAAACTTATAAAAATTAAAACGTTAAAAAGAAAAAGCGTACAATTTTAAGCGAGCTGTTATACCACTTCACTAAGTTATTAAATATGTTTTTTATCTAGCGTATTAAACGTGTCCTATCACAAATAAAAAATATAAAACAGTAAAAGTAAGCGTCCAACTTCGCACAAACTGTTACACCACCTTATCACAGCTATTATTATCCTATAACAAACAAATCAAAAAACTTATCAAAATGTCCACAAAACTAAAAAACAACAATTAAAACTCAAAGGACGCCTACGCGAAAATTAGGTCAAGTGACTCATGAACCATCCAAGGGTACCGGCGTCGGACTAAGTGACTTAAATCATCGTCCCATGCGGCAGAGAAATTCGAATATAAACAACACGCATCTTCACACCACTCCCTTCCATTTCTTATCACTTCAAACATAGCGAATTATGCCTTCGGACATCTATTATGTCGCCTCTACACGTTGGCCAATACAGTGGCGAATGTAGTGGCGAATATATTGGCCGAGAGTTGGTGACGGCGTCCACACGTTGGAAGGTCGTTCAGTTTACTTCGGTTCGGGCCAATGTGCGGACGAACGACGGCTCCGTGGCGCAGTGGCTTAGCAATGAGTAGCTGTGCCGGGGGCCGCGGGTTTGAATCCCGCACGGAACAAGTATTTGTATATCCTACAAATAATTGTTTCGGGTCTGGATGTGTGTCCTTGTGCAATTTATGTTTGTAAGCTGCCTCCGCGATAAAGGAGAAAATCCAAGTGTGGGGGTTACGTTTTTATAAAATAATTATAAAAGAATAGTGGATATTAATGGGGCTGTAAATAGAAATACGATATACGATTAGGTTTATTTATTCTTTACATGCATCATAAACTGGAATAAATACAATTAATAAGAACTTAACTTATTTTAAAGTTAAAAGAGTTGTAATCGATTAGTCTATGTTTTAAAATTGGGTTTTGATTTTAAAGTTTAGCAAAATATATACTTGCATTTCTATCAGACATTTGACGTATATAAAAAACACCTTATAATTTATTTGGTAATTAATTAATTTTTTGAGAAAGACAAAAACAATAGCAATAAATATAATTAAAACCTAACTTGATAATAGGTACTAATTATAACTTAGAACATAAATGAAAAACTCATGACGAGCAAAGTGGCTCAGGACCATGCTTTGCGGCAGTCTGTGGAGGAGGATGTTCAGTAGTGGACTTGTGAACAGCTGTAATGATGATGATGATTCGAAAACTTGAAATTATAAGAAATCGACGCTTTTTTTATAGGATAGGGTGACAAACGAGCACACAGTTCACCTGATGGTAAGTGGTTACTGTGGCCCACGGATATCTACATCTATCCTCGATTACGAATCAAAATGCATATGCGTTCTCACCCGTGAGGACAAAGATGAAATGCCTCGTTTCCTTTAAATAGGGTCTCTGGTTCTCTACACTCACTATACGAAACACAGCATCATTAAGCTACTATTTTACCCTGATATTCTGTGCGAGCGTGGTCCTTCCCCGGTTGAGCCAACCCATTCGTGCTACAACTATATATACTTCTAATATAACTGCATGGTTCTACCACGTATAAACGACGTGCTTCATTTTTTTTTTTCATTTTAAAATTGTTCTCGTAATAATCTGATTGTAAATAAATGTTCGTTATTTTTTTTTGATAAATAATTATATATACACCTCTCTGCAGTTGGATAGGTTTCGTACTCTGGTTCTGTACTCGAATAGCCATCGTAGCCCTACTGTACAAACACTTCAGCACTTCAATATACCGACAGTCAACTAGGCACCGCTGAAGAGACTGTAGCACCGCCCAAATTTCGACAAATCAAAGGAATCAAAGGCTTTCTCATAGTCCACATACGCCAGGCAAAGTGGCAGATTGCACTCTTCGGACTTCTGTACAATTTGCCGAAGGGTATGTATGTGGTCTATGGTACTGAAGCCTTTTCGGAAACTGGCTTGTTCGGGAGGCTGGAAGTCGTCGAGTCTGCGTGCGAGACGATTCGTAATGACTCTCGAAAACAGCACGTAGACGCGGCTCAGAAGGGAAATCGGTCTGTAGTTCTTCAAGAGAGCGTTGTCGCCTTTCTTAAAGAACAAGACCACCGCGCTTCTGCTCCACGCCTCCGGAGTAATGCCACCATGGAGGACGGAATTTGAAGAGCTTCTGAAGGACTTCAAGTACCGGTGTTCCATCCGCTTTCAGAAGCTCCGCTGTAATTCCATTCTCGCCCGGGGCCTTGCCGTTTTTAAGGTGGTGGAGAGCCATTCTAATCTCGCTCAGACTGACGTCCGGGATATCATCGGAATAGTGTCGGATAAGACTTGCTCTTGGATCGTTACTCACACTTGCGTGTGGCTCCAACGATGATGTGTACAGCTGCCCATAGAACCTGTCAATTCTCAGAATCTCAGGTGTCCCGGAAACGATGTTGCCACACTCAGTCTTCAGCCTTGACAGTTGGCTCCTTCTGGCAGACAGATCTCTGGCAAAGACTTTGGAGCCCTGGTTCCGCTCGATCGCTTCTTTAATACGAGCAGTATTAAAGTTGCGTAAGTCTCGCCGCATGCATTTGGAGAACTGTCTGTTCAGCTGCCTGTATGCTGTCAAATCTGTTGACGATTGCAGCCTCAACTCCCGTCTAACAGCCATGAGATTAAGAGTGTGATCGGAGAGTTTTTGTGTTCTTCTGCAGCAGGTCTTGCAGAACTTAGCTCCGACCGCATGGACAGTTTCCACGAGCTTGTCATTCATATCGTCCACTGCATTGCAATCCTCTAGGCACTGAAAGCGGTTTTGTAACTCGAGCTGAACGGTTTCGGGATTCTGGATTAGAGCACGAGGGGGGACGGAGCATTGACTTCATTAGACGAGACCTCTCCAACTTAACTTTTAGGTTCAGTGTGCCTCTAACCATTCGGTGATCGCTGCCAGTTTTCACACTTGCGATCACTGAGACATCACTGAACAGTTGGCGTCTGGTCGTCATAATGAAGTCAATCTCATTTTTTGTCGAACCGTCGGGGCTCGACCAGGTCCACTTCCTGTGGGGCCGCTTCTGGAAGAAAGAGTTCATCATAAAGAGTCCCTCTTTCTCCATAAAGTCGGCCAGCTGCTGGCCCCTTACGTTCCGTTGCCCTACTCCAAATTTCCCCACCTTCAGCTCACCGCTTTCTCTTGTGCCCAGTTTTGCGTTGAAGTCTCCCATCAACACCGTGTAGTGGGTTTTGGAGGAATGCATGGCTCTGGAAATATCCTCATACATTTCCTCCACCTCCTCATCGGGATGTGCCGAGGTTGGTGCGTAAACCTGTATGACCTTCAGCGAATACCGTTTGGTGATTCTGAGTATCAGGTACGCGACCCTCGTCGACACACTCCCAATCTTCACAACGTTGTTGACGAGAGACTTGTGGACGATTAAATCCGACACCTCCTTGGGACAGATAGTCGCCCTCCCGGTGGTAGAACAAGTTGCCGGACTCGAGGATTGCCGTATCCTCCCCCTCTCTTCGGACCTCGGATAATCCAATAATATGCCAGCGCAACTTGTCTACCTCTTCTTCCAGCTCCAGTATCTTCTCGTCAGTCCTCAGGGTGCGTGCGTTATATGTTGCCAGGTCGAGTCGTCGTAGGTGGCAACCGAACCTCCACCGGAGATTCTTAGCACCCCCCTGCCCCGCCGTTACCATGGTCGCCACCGTATCCAGGAATAGCGGGGCCGCCGGGGACTGAGGGCCGTTTTTTTGCGTCATTATTCATGGGGGGATATTTGCCATAGTTGCCACGCTTGGCGAGCGGGTTGGCAACCGCAGTTTTTTATTATAACACAGTTGTTATCAGGAAGATGCTGCTGCCCATCTCCTGCCTGTGTCCCTCTGTCGCCTCTTACGACACCCACGGGAAGATATGGGGTAGTGGATATTCTCAACCGCCACTACACGGCAAACTGTTACAAAATATATTTCTATTATAAATTTCATAGATTTAATTTTAGCATAATTCAAAAGCCAATTGTTAACGTAAACTTAAACTAAGATACCAATTGACATTATATCAATATTTACAATTCATATTCTAAAAACTGTCGTCTTACACATATTAGTCGCACATACATTACTTTTTAGAAAAAGAGTTACACTAATTGCAGGTTAAACCGGCTTTGATGTGTAATGATCACTACATCTTATACTTGTGATACAAGTATTAGTATCAAGGTAGTATTTCTTTAAGTGCAATTTCTGTATCCTTTTGAAAAAAAAAAGAATATTACAAGTTCCATTTAGTGTCGAGTACTCAAGATTTATGCCGGCCATCGTTCGTTCCGAGAGTTAACATCGTGGTTCTAAATTTGTATCTTGTAAACTGAACTTATCATTCTGTATTTTCTTATAGCTAAATAATAAAAAGAGTTTGGAACACATACCAGCTTCAGGTATTTGTAAAAGGGCGGCGGCAGCTCGTAGCGCAGAACGCTTAAGCTCGTCTTGCTTCTCGTACTCCTGCTTTACGGAGTTTGCCTTCACTTTCATCGTGCAGGTCGCTCGCAGGGGCTCCACTAGACTTTCTAATCCTGTTTAACGATAGGAACTACATTACTTTGCGTTTTATATAGAATGAAAACTCACAATTCTCTCTTTTTTATCAACCCATAAGTTCATAGCTGGACATTTTTATAAATGTGTGAATAAAATCAGAAACCATTTTTACTATTTTCAAGGTATTTTAAATTAGTCCTCAGGGATGACAATGTATTTTCATTTTGATTCTTAAACAAGGACAGATGTAGGTGTATATTATGTGTCACGCCGTCCACTCACCATTAGGTGTACTGTGTGCTCGTTTGTTACTTCTATTAAAAAAACATGTGCGTCTTCTAATCCTTGGAAGATATACTCACTCTGTAGAACGACAGTCGGGCAGAGCTGCGCCAGTCTAGCACACATGAGGTAGGTGAGCATCTTGATGTCGTAGTGATCCCGCAGGCCGTCCTCCACGTGCCGCAGGAACTCGAACACGTCAAGTCGGTCCAAGCACGTGCCCAGCAATGTGTACATGCACTCAAACGCTGCCTTCCTCAGGTCCAGTCCGTCGTCTACAGAGTGCTTAAATGGACCCATTTCCACCTCTCTGATGAGTTCTTTCTAAAATTAAAACATTTTGTATAAGATGAATGATTATTTATTGAAATCTTAATTTCTCTGAACAACTGCATATTAACTAAAAACTCATGCGTGGGCAAGTTGACCGTGCTACGTGTGCACCACGGTAGAGTTCAGGCTTGCTCACCTTAACCTTGGTCTCGCTATAGATGGTGGGCAGCAGCGCGGGCAGCAGGTCGCGCACCAGCGAGGTCTTTTGTGTGCGGCCGAGTTGAACGTGCTACGTATGCTACGTATGCACCAGGGTACAGTGCAGGCGTGCTCACCTTCACCTTGGTCTCGCTGTAGATGTTGGGCAGCAGCGCGGGCAGCAGGTCGCGCACCAGCGAGGTCTTTCGTGTGCGGCTGAGTTGAACGTGCTACGTGTGCTACGTATGCACCAGGGTACAGTGCAGGCGTGCTCACCTTGACCTTGGTCTCGCTGTAAATGGTGGGCAGCAGCGCGGGCAGCAGCGCGCAGCAGCGCGCGCAGCAGGTCGCGCACCAGCGAAGGGCTTGTTGTGCTTGGCCGAGTTGAACGTGCTACGTGTGCTACGTATGCACCAGGGTACAGTGCAGTTTTGCTCACCTTGACCTTGGTCTCGCTGTAAATGGTGGGCAGCAGCGCGGCAGCAGCAGGTCGCGCACCAGCGAGGGCTTGTTGTGCTTGGCCGAGTTGAACGTGCTACGTGTGCTACGTATGCACCAGGGTACAGTGCAGGTGTGCTCACCTTGACCTTGGTCTCGCTGTAAATGGTGGGCAGCAGGTCGCGCACCAGCGAGGGCTTGTTGTGCGCGGCCGAGTTGAACGTGCTACGTGTGCTACGTATGCACCAGGGTACAGTGTGCAGGCGTGCTCACCTTGACCTTGGTCTCGCTGTAAGTGGTGGGCAGGCAGCGCGGGCAGCAGCGCGCGCAGCAGGTCGCGCACCAGCGAGGGCTTGTTGTGCTTGGCCGAGTTGAACGTGCTACGTGTGCTACGTAGCACCAGGGTACAGTGCAATTGTGCTCACCTTGACCTTGGTCTCGCTGTAAATGGTGGGCAGCAGCGCGCGCAGCAGGTCGCGCACCAGCGAGGGCTTGTTGTGCTCGGCCGAGTTGAACGTGCTACGTGTGCTACGACACCAGAGTACAGTGCAGGTGTGCTCACCTTGACCTTGGTCTCGCTGTAAATGGTGGGCAGCAGGTCGCGCACCAGCGAGGGCTTGTTGTGCGCGGCAGAGTTGAACGTGCTATGTGTACACCAGGGTAGAGTGCAGATGTGCTCACTTTGACCTTGGTCTCGCTGTAAATAGTGGGCAGCAGCGCGGGCAGCAGGTCGCGCACCAGCGAGGGCTTGTTGTGCGCGGCCGAGTTGAACGTGCTATGTGTACACCAGGCTAGTGCAGGTGTGCTCACTTTGACCTTGGTCTCGCTGTAGATGGTGGGCAGCAACGCGGGCAACAGGTCACGGACCAGCGATGGCTTATTGTGCGCGGCCGAGTTGAACGTGCTATGTGTACACCAGGCTAGTGCAGGCGTGCTCACCTTGACCTTGGTCTCGCTGTAGATGGTGGGCAGCAACGCGGGCAACAGGTCACGGACCAGCGATGGCTTATTGTGCGCGGCCGAGTTGAATGCGACGAGCGCCACGCGGCGCACGCACAGCTCTTCGTCGCGCAGCGGCACCATCAGCTCCGACATGCACGCGCGCAGCAGGGGATCGATGGCCTGCGGCTGCACACACACGCAACACCCCACATGTACAACTACAAGTATCCATAGGATTTTAGACATCTTTTTTACAGAATTAAGAGTTATGTGCGAACAAAATGGCCTGTATACAGCCTTTATTTCATATTTTTAGGAATAGGTGACGCGAAGATATGTCGTGTTCTCCCGAATGCTGCTCAGCCGAGTTGGCCTCGTAAATTAAGCAGATTATCACACAATGACATCATCATTAAAAAGTTGCGTTTTAAATAAGTTATTCGGTTACTAGTGTACGTTAGAAAATATATAAATAACCATATACAAAATGACTCAGTGCTTCTGTATTTTTTATTTTTTTAAACATTTTATTTATTCTTACACTTTTAGTAATATCCGTATTTTGGTTTTCCCATCTCCAATTTAATTATATTAAAACACAACTAATACTTCAGATTTTTTAACTACATAGTTGTGACAAATGTTACACATGATCGTTGACTTGTCCATATTTATCTTGAGGGTCTATCTATCGGGAGAGATTCTATTGAGATCATAGATTCATTATATAATTATAATTAAATAATTTCAAAATAATAAATAATCATTAGATAATATCTAATCAATTTAATGTAATCCGTGGTTTAGGATAGGAATAAATTTCGCGACATACAATGACCACAGTTTAAAGAACTTACAGTTGAGAAACGAATGTTCTTGTGCAGTGCAACGGTGGGTAAACTGCGGGGCCGGGGGTGGGCCGACCTTGTGCTAGCACACTTCACCGAGTCTCCTATACAATACAATACATACGGTTCGCGCGAGCGTGTTTTATAGTACCTACTTATTTAACAATAGTCTGCTTTGTAGTTTGTAGCATGATGCGGATGACAGGTTGACAGGTCACTAGAACGTACTTAACTTGCGTGCGTTTGCAGGGTACGACAAAAAATTCTAGTATGATAAAATAACACTGAATTTGTTTCTATTAATTTTCTCTATTCCGTTATGACTATTATATTAACATTAATTCAAAAATCTACCTAAAATGTTTTTGTTTACTTATAAAATTATAAGTTTCATTTATTTCACTTCCGTGCGCAGTTACGTACTATGCCTACTAACAGTAATTTTCCTAATTACTAGAGATGTCATCATAATTGGACGTTAAAACTGTCAAGCGAATACAATCGCATAAAATAAGTAAGATAATTATATTTTGTAGGGGTGCAATACCTGATATCATACAAACAATTAAGACTTACATTCATTATACAAAAAATAAAATAGATAAAAAAAATTAAGAGAAAAAAATTAAATAATTTAATATTATAATTGCCGACATAATCTGACACACTTTATTGTCTACTTAACACGCTGAAGTTCAACGTGATTGGTTCATCAGTCGATTCTCGTCGTTTATTGGTTTAGGACGTATCATTCGGCTTCCGTACACTTGAGAGCAATAATTTTAGTGATAACTTTTTTAATTAGTTTATTTTCGGTAATTGTTTTTGTTAACTCGTTGTTAATTGTTGTTTATGTATTCCTTGTTATTAATTGTTTTTGTTATATCTTGTTTTTAATTATTTTTGTTGTTATAATTTGAGTTTTCAGATTTTGGTCTAAATATACAGAGAAGGAAGAATTTAGTGTTAAATAGACAATCCCGACAAATGGTCTATTCAGTGTTTAGTTACATGAAAAAATTAGGTACTGCGAAAAACGTCATAGACATATATAAACATACTGCTGAAGCGACTAATGTCTCAGTAGCTAATGTACGGCACACCTCAACACCAGATTTTATGCAAGACATATCACCTCTTCCTTCTTCTTAATAAAATAATCAATTCTAACCACCAGGTATACATTAAATACTTTATAGTAGATAACAAAATAACGGACACGAATATCTGCAACATTACTGAATCAAAGTAAAAATTGATGTGTTCGAGTAAACATATTCATAAAAGTAGGCGAAAATATTCAATTACGAATTGAAATAATAAACGTACCCAATAATTTAGCTCGACAGTGTACCTACCTCCCACCACAGTTTATCTGTGCTCACGACTCGTGTCGGCAACTATACATTCCGGCCGGCATTTTGTTGTTCTCACTTAAAGTAATGGAGGAGAATGACTAACGTTTCATTCGAAGGAGAATGACTAACGTTTGACTCGTCTTAACAAATTTTTTGTTTGTTTTGGCATTTTAAATAAACAAACTCAACAAATAGCAAAAATTAACTTAACAAAACAACTTTGAACTTAATAATCGAAAGTAAAAGCAATATAAACTCAAATGGAAATTATAAAACGGCCGATAGGTACTTCATACAAAGTGCTACAGGCACTAGTATAAAACGGCCGATAGGTACTTCATACAAAGTGCTATAGGCACTAGTATAGATTATACATACAGATTAGTGTTGTCAGTTGTCCCGATTTGCGCAGGACGTCCCGATTTTCAAGGATGTGGTGACACGACGCCAAATGTCCCGATTTTTTACAAACATTCTATTTTCTATTTTTACCTTCCGAACCGATATTTGACCCACAGGGCTTGGCAACACTTACGAGGGCGACACTGAGTTTTTAGAACCGGCCATTTGTAAACGATATAATAAAAAAATAAGTAAAAATTTTGAAAATGGAACTCTTTGCCAATATTATTGTGTATTCTATTAATTTGTCATTTGTTTACGATTTGGCGGCAAATTGAAAATTATCGTGTCACGTCAGCTTGAATTTAACGCGAGAAAATTTTCGTACAATGATTTTTTATGACTTTCGATGTCATTTAAGTCAATAATTAATTTTTTTATATGATAGGGTGACAAACGAGCTCACAGTCCACCTAATGGTAAGTGGTTGCTGTGGCCCATAGACATCTCATTAAGCTACTATTTTAGGCTGGTATTCTGTGAGAGCGTGGTCTTTCTCCGGCCGAGCCGACCCATTCGTGCTACAACTCTACTACTAAAATAACTGCAGCATGGCTCTATCACGTACATAAATGATAGACTTCGATTGGCCTTTCACAGTGAATTCCCATCTTGTGCCACTGTTTACAACTGGTTTAATGAGGTTAAACATGGTCGCACTAATCTCACCGATGATCTGCGTGAGGGACGGCCTTCTACGGCGACGACTGAAGATAACATCAGTGTTGTGCGGCGTATGATAGAGACTGACAAAAGAATGCCATCAAAAACATATCTTGTAAAAAAACCAAGTCTCGCAACTCAGTTCTTCTACCGTAAAAAGTTGTGAGATTCATGTAATACCAAGTCGGTTAATTTATTCAGTCCCTACTTAAGGGTCCTTCTGTTTTATGTTATTACGTAATTACGTAATAAATAGATTGACTTGGCCATCGCATGAAAACACAATGTATCTCACAAGTAATACATATTATATTAAATTAGATTGCTTAGTGCGACTGCCAAGTCAATCTATATATTTAAAACATAAAAGATTTTTAACGAAGATATGGTCACTATAAAATGTTGTTAGGTTAGCTAATTACGCAATAACTTAAAACAGAAGGACCCTTAAGTAGGGACTGAATAAATTAACCGACTTGGTATTACATGGATCTCACAACTTTTTACAGTAGAAGAACTGAGTTGCGAGACTTGGTTTTTTTTACGAGATATGTTTTTGATGGCATCTCATTTCTTAGTTATTACAAAGTTATTCATGCAGTTGGTGTATCTAGAAAACTGGACCGAAATAAAAAATATTTTAGTTTTTCCTTAATTTATACACTAAACGCTAATTGTATTTTAAATTTGAAGCTTCTATGTCTGCTAGAAGTGCCTTAGAGTTTTGATGATCAGTCAGTCAGTGAGTGACAAAATTAAAAACTTTGACTAGTTATAATTCTTAAATTACTGGATCAAATTGAATGAAATTTGAAATATACCATTTTTATACAATTACTACTAGGTTACTGAAAATTCAGGATTCTAGTTTTATCTAACTACGAAGTTATAGGGGGTCAAAAATGGCCTAAATTGCTTCGAGAAAAGTATAGTACGGCCGTGCCGCTTTTTTTGCTCGACTTGGCGGGGGCACTGCCGTGCGCCCAGATCACTTATCAGCACATTTGGACAAGCTTAGGCATCGGTATGAGTCAAGTGCACAAAATCCTCCATGAACATTTAGCGGTCAGGAACCTCATAATTTGACAGACAACCCGGTGGATACCTCATAATTTTACAGAGGCCCAAAAACTTCGTGGTGTTGATTGGTATCGTGAAATGGTTCAAAGATTTAACGGAGGTGACTCGAATGTTGTGTTCCGACATACTTACGGGTGACGAAAGCTGGATTTATTGTTATGATTCGGAAACTAAGAGACAGTCTGCTGTCTGGGTGTTTCCTTCCGAGGTTTTGACTAAAGTGAAGAGAGGTCGAAGCGTGGGAAAAATGATGACGGCCTCGTTCTTCGGAAGGACAGGTCATTACGCAACAATTGTTTAAGAGGATTGAAAAACAGTTTACTGCAGAGTAGTATACTAACAATTTTTTGCCACTTGTCTTTGAAAAAATTCGGGAGAAACGACCTCGCAGTAGAATCCTCCTTCACCACGACAACGCCTCGTCGCATACCGCCAAGCAAACAATCGACTACTTGGCGAAGTCACACGTGGAATTACTGGGTCACCCGCCCTATAGCCCCGACCTCGCACCTTGAGATTTTTATTTATTTCCGAAAATAAAAGATAAACTTCAACAAAAACGTTTTAAGCAGCAAAAAGCAGTGGCAGCGTTTCAAAACGCCGTCGAAGAGACCCCTAAGGACGAGTGGGCAAAGGCGGTTCCATCGGATGCAGCGATGTATTGATGTAAATGGACATTATTTTGAAAATATATAATAAAACTAATGTGTGTCACCCTCGTATATAGCGAAAGGCGCTAGCATTCGTACCTTAAAAAGCTGCAGGTATAGTCAACGCCTTACTGAAAATCACATATGCTGGCAGTCATTTTATTTGTTTTAATGTTACGGTAAATGATGCAATTAACATAAAATTAAAGATGAATCTTATTTTATTAATGTTCTTCTGTAAAGTTCTGAGTAAAAACCTGTTCAGCTCTTTACTATGTCTTCTCTGTTTCTTGTTTCCTCTTTTCCATCTTGTAGACCTTGTATTCAGTTTTTAAGCGTTGACAGCTCTTTAAAGGCTTTCTTTGAACTTTTATATGTTGCATTATTTCTCTTTATGATTATTCTTCTATGTCTTTTGTAATCTTGCCTGATTGCTCTGTAGTCTTGTATAATTCTTTTACTTTGTGTCTCATTTCTTTAGATTTTTCTCTTTTAGATAGGAGTTCTGTACATTTAGAAACTAACTTCTCTTCTACACTACTTTTTCGAAACGGGCTCTAACAACTCTTTCTAAACGGAATACTAAAGCCAACCCCAAATATTTGTATTCTTGTCATGTTTGCCACAATATACTGTATGAGATTGAGGCCAGGATCGTAAACCGGGCAAGGTTCATATTTGTTTATATATAAATTCAGACTTTGTTAAGGTACTCAGTAGTTAGTGGGTGGTATGTGCACATTTTAATGTAGTTAAAGTGCTAAATGTAGTGACTTGACATAAAAATATCTTGTGAGAGATTAACTATTTACTTTTTTATAATTAATGTATTAAATTGTAACTAAAATTTACATACATTGTAATTTATTTACAAAGAAACAATTTCCGATTTTAATTTTTGGTGGCCGCGTAAATACCTACGGGCGCGGCGGCATCGGCTGACATCAAAGGCGTTTCACAACAGTCTTTAAACTGTGCTAAGACCAAATTGTATTATGAACCTATAATTTTTAACAACTGACATCATTTTTCTTTGTCTACATCAGCCTGTAAAAAGACCTTAGTACTTGTTAATCTCCATACTTGGTAAGCATGGCCGGCGATCGTAGTACCAGATGTCTCGCTCTGTTAAACGATCTCCTTGACGCCTGTCTGGACATTTTATAATAAGCGAATACAGTGTTGCATGCCGCCATTCATCAGAGGCCATTAGATCTTATACGCAATTTCCATAGTCACATTTTATGACGTTCACGGGAGGAAATACGTGATGTATTTATTCTCTTACGTCGCTACTACAAAACAATCATATTATCTATGATCAAATTAATTGTTAGCGCCCTCTACATAATCATCCCAATAATTTCAAGGTTTTTCCTTTAAACAAATGCATAATTAAATTAAAACTATAAAACCAATTACTAGAGAATAATGCTTAAATCATTGCATCTTCGTACTAAATTAAGAAATTTGACATACCTGATCTGATATAGTAAATTTAACAGCAGTTACAGCAGTTGTTCTTGTGAGTGGTTCAGGCGACTTGAGGAATTCTTTCAAATGTGGTAATAAGTCTTGAGGTTCTAGAAGACATAACTTTCCTAAACATTCAGCGACCTGCAATAAAGACGATTCTGTAAATAATAAGTCCTTTATTTCACATATAACATAATTAACATTATTTATAAAACAAATTAAATTGCATTTTATATTAATTGCAACGATTAGACTCAATTAATGCTATCTTACAATTATTCTAATTTTCAAAATTTTTGTACATTATACATACTACATTACGAGATCCTTCCTCTGCACATTGACAGTGTTTTGAAAGTTGAACCCAAATTTCTGGAATAAATGGCCTTAACGCTTCAATACCTTCTGGTGTGCAAGATTCACAAGATATTATCTGAAAACAAAAGTACATATAAATAATCTTTTAGCCTTTGTCTCTCTGTCAAGTATGTTATTAAAAATCGACTAAAACTAATTATATTAAACTAATAACAAGTGACAAAAGGTGTTTGACATGAGACAATATATTATAGAATCATATCGAAATTATTTGAAATTAACTCGAACTCCACGAGATCACAGCTGCAAAACCATTTACAAGAAGCAGGAAGGAAGCTTTCTTTTTTTTTAACTCATTGCCTATAAATGAAATTATACATGCTAGGTTGTATGACAAACGAAAACCGATTACCTCTCTTAGAGAATGCAATAACAGATATTGTCGTTTGGGTTGTGCCTCTATCTCTCCAAGTATGAAAGGCAGAAACTCAGGCAAGTTGCCAACGGCCACGGAACCCAAGGCATAGCTCGCAGCAGACTTCACCTCCTCCGACGAAGGTGTGAATGAATTCAATAACACCTCTTTTAGATTCGGTATTGAGCTTAGGTCTCTGTAATTAAGTATCATATTATCATTATTTATCATATTATTATTATCTTTAACGTGGCAGAGGCATGCCGCAACTATATTATGGTTGTAGTGGTCGGCTCAACCGGGACAGGTCCACGCTCTCACAGAATACCGGCGTATAATAGCAGCCTAATGCTGCTGGGTTTCATATGGTGAGTGTAGAGAACTGGAGACCCTTTTTACTGGAAACGAGGCATTCCAACTTAGTCCTCAGGGGTGACAACGCATCTGCATTTTGAATCTGAATAGAGGGTAGATATAATAAATAATAGATGTCTATGGGCAACAGCATCCACTTACCATCAGGTAGACTATATGCTCGTTTGTAAAAAAAAAGCTTAGGAAATAATTCTGCCGTCTGATCTTCAAAACACCATCCAACTTTAATCGGTTTTATAAACTTATTTTAGTAAATGGAACATACTCGTCGTACATAGATTATGCAGTCATAACAAAAAGTTCTTTACGTCAACTTTTTATGGAGTTAATTTAAAAATTGTTACTACATATTTTTAATAAAAACCATTATATAAAGCATACCTAATACCATTTGCACTTAACAGCCTTTATGTATTCGAATAGCAAATTGTGCAATTAAGGTATATTGCTGTACAAATTTCTTATCAATGTAGTACTAATTTGTAAATTATTAACTATGATCGTATTTATTTCAAATTAAAAGATTTTGTTGACCAGTATTTGGTTTTATTTATGATCCTCATTAAACGGTGAATCTCGGAATTTTTTTGCTGTTAACGAACAAACAGAAAATATTTTATCATCCTTCACTTCTTTTATTGAAATAAAAATTATTATTATTATATTATTCTTATTTTACTTCAAGCTTAACATTAAAATCAGTGAATCGAAAGGCATAACATATTCAATACACAAAGAATTATAATACATAGAGAATTAGATGTGTAGTTACAAAAATTGGCCTATATCCGTTGAAACTGTAATCGGAACAGACACCAACGAAAAATGTCATTGGCTGTTAGAGATTTGGAACACATAGGTAGTGAATAAGAGAATTAAAGTATTGAGATAATGCAGTGTAGGTGTATTCCACACGACAAAATATTATGATTTTATATTCATGTTAATTCTAGTAAGAACAGTAGTCTCTATAAGTCATAATTTGTCCTCTTCCTACCACTTATATGCTGATGATCTTCAAATCTACATTCAGTCCTCTCTTAAAGATTTGTCAAAAGCAGTTGACACTATTAACGCTAATCTGACTTGTGTTTCGAACTGAAGTAAATGTTATGGTTTAATGATTAATCCTAAGGAAACTCAGGCTATTGTCATCGTTAGTTCTAGATTAATCGGAAAAATTGACTGGATTTCCCTACCTCCTATTATACAAGACTGCACTCTAATCCCTTACAGTAACAAGGTTAAAAAGTAAAACCTTGGCTCAACTCCTGTATGTCTTGGACCTCACAGGTTAATGAGGTTAACAGAAAAATATTTGCTACGTTAAGCTCTTTGCGTAGATTACGTAATTTTCTTCCCAAAGTAACTAAAGTTACGCTCGCCCAGTCTCTACTTCCGCCTATCCTTGACTATGCTGACATTTGCATCTTGATATTATCAAGGAGCAGCTTAATAATCTTGAGCGCATTCAAAATTTATGTATTAGATTTATATGGGCTTCGCAAATATGATCATATCTCTGAATTTGGCCAAACAGCTCAAATGGCTCCCGATCCGCCTTCGCAGGAATACTCACATTCTCTCCTCATTGTGTAGCGTGCTGTTTAATCCTTCCCCTCCTCAATATTTAAAAGACCGTTTCCAGTATCTTAGAGAGCCGTGGTATCTCAGACGATTAAGGCCCGCTGTAAATATAACAGAACGCGAGTAACCCGGGTTCGATCCCCTGCGGCCCCAATGAAATTGTTAATTGCAATTTTAAGTGCTGATTTACCACATGCTCGGCGGTGAAGGAAAACATCGTGAGGAAACCTGCTTGTCTAAGGAAAAAAAAATTTCGAAGACATGTGTAGTTCGCCAAGTTGTGGCGGCGCGGCGGACACTTCCTTGCCCTAAAACCCTCTCAGAAATGTGGGGAGGCCTGTGCCCAGCAGTGGGACTTATATAGGCTGTAACTTTACCTTATTTTACTTTTTTCCAGTATCTTTCCCTTACCCATAATCAGTACCTTCGATCCTTTGTCAATCTTTCTCTCTCTACTCCATTGCACTCTTTTCTTATTTCTCCTTTTTTAAGAAACCCCTTACTGTAACTGCTGTGCTTTTGTGGAAATCTTTTCCTCTCCACATTCGTCATGCTAAATCTCTTCACTCTTAAAAATCTTGTTAAATCATATTACTTAGAACGCTATTAGATAAATTACTTTGCCTTTTTCGTAGTCTTTTTATTTAATCTATTATAGCATATTATTTATAATTTTTACTTATCTTTATATATATATATATATATATATATATATATGTATATATATATGTATGTATATATATATGTATGTATATATATATTCATATTTATTTATTTTTTTGTACGCCGCCTCTATTTAAACTATTGTTTGCATCAGTTCTCTACGCAAAGGTTGTCTGGAAGAGATCACTTTCAGAGTGATAAGGCCACCTGTTGCAGATATTCTACTTTAGATTTAACTGTGTGTACCCGTTGTTTTGTATTTTATTGTACAATAAAGAGTAAAAATAAATGAATAAATAAACAATAGTCTAATTAAACACCTAGTAATAGCAACACATCGGCTCATTCGACATTTTTCTTCAAATCAGTCGACATGTTGCTATCACTAGGTGTAGACCACTGACTGCCTCGTCGGTCCAGTGGTTGTAGTAGTGCGACTGCTGATCATGAGGTTCTGGGTTCGAATCCCGGGTCGGGCCAAAAAATTAATTATTGAGTTTTTCCGTCAACAAATTCGAAGTTGCCCGGAGTCAGGAAGTTGGCGGTGTCTCACCCCCCGTGCCTCGGAAAGCACGTAAAGCCGTTGGTCCTGCGCCTGATCTCTCACCGGTCGTGTCGGTTTACCGTCCCATCAGATTATGAGAGTGAGGGAATAGAGAGTGTAACTGTGCTTGCGCATATACTTGGGCACTATAATCCTGTCCTGCGCCGATGGCTAGCCTCCGTTGAGGCAGGCGCCCGTGGCCGAAATTCGGTCTGGAGGACATTATTATAATTAGACCACTGTCGTTACTAGAGTTAACATGACTATATTATAATATTTAGTCGTGTGGGCTGGTCTACACGTGGGCTACACGAGGGCTACACGTGAGCTACACGTACACTACTACACTAATAACAAAAGAGAATGAGTTGTAGTTACAGGCGGCGTCCGATCTCGGCGACGGCGAGCAGCGCGAACATGTGGTGCGCATCGGAGGGCGGGTGCGCAGCGTCGCGCAGGAAGCCGCGCACCACGTCCAGTGCGTCCGCGCCGCCCGACACCACCACCGCCGCCACGCACTTCGCCAGCGAGTGGAACGCCTGCGCCACCACACCACTCCTTATACTATACGCTATTACACCCATTTTCAAATAGTATTTTAAATGAATCCTGGAGTGATAATAACCAATATAATTTTTATATACATTTTTAAAACCGAATGGTATCATAAAAATTGCTTTTAATTTATCGTTTTAAAAAAGACAATTGTTTTTGGGCCCACTATAAATGGTAATGATTATTATTAGTATTACACATAAATAAACGGGCTAAAGATTATATACAAGACTAACGTAATAATAAAATCTTGCCAAAATTGGAATGTATTGATAAACATGTTACATTTTTGAGTTTGTATAAATATTTAGTTTGTATATTGATTAAAACTACTTTTACGGATTTTATCGCGTTTTATTTATTTTATTTTTAATACCCGACGTTTCGCGTGCTTTCCGGCACCCATGGTCACGAGGGACTGAGGTGACTGACGTCCCGATGTCAAAGTTAACCCGGAGTACCTTCAGCTTTTTAATTATTGTCTTTGGTCCGATCTACGCAGAATGAACTAACTGTGTTTTGAAGTCCTGCAGTGATATGTTTGGGTTTAGTTTTAATTTTATTAATTATAGGATCCCAAGCAGGTGGTAGTACCCAGCCTCCTTCTCTATTGAAATTAGGATGTTTTTTTAATTTCAATAGCCTCACGTATCATCCTTGGTAGTAATCGATGTTCTTTCGCGAGGATTTGTGGTCTATCAAATCTGATGTAATGGTTGGGGCCATCTAGGATATGATCGCAAACTGCAGACTTCCCGGAACGTTGATGCTTCACGTCAGCTATGTGTTCTTTTACGCGGGTTCTAATTGATCCCTTTGTTTGCCCTATATATGAGAGACCACAATCACAATCAAGCTTGTACACTCCTGCATCTTGTAGAGGAATATGACACTTGACGGATGGTAAGAACTGACTAATCTTCTTCGGCGGCTTGAAGTATGTTTTAACGGAGAATAGAATGTTCTAATAGAAGCTCGCTTCAAGATGTAGCCAATCTTGTCTGTGACACCTCTGACATATGGTAGTACAGCAGGCACACGCTCGACTGTGGCCGGCTTCACTCGGTCACTGTGACGTAGGCGCGGGACCCGAAGCTTGTTGTCGTGCAGAACCTGCTTGACGTGCTGAAGCTAGGCGGCCAGGTGTTTGCTGTCACAGATCCCTCGTGCTCTCTGTAACAAAGATTTGCCCACGGTAGCTAATGTGAAGGATGATGGTGAGATTCACCATTTAAGTATCGGTTTGTATGGGTCTTTTTTCTATACACAGTATGACCTATGGTGTTGTTAGGATTTCGGATGACTAACACATCTAGGAAAGCTAAGGAATTATTCGCCTCTAACTCCATAGTAAATTGAATTTTAGAGTTTATGGAATTAAGATGTTCTAAAAATGCAGTTACTTTGTCTGATGGTAAAATTGTGAAAGTATCGTCTACGTACCGCTTGTAGAACCTTGGGGTGACAGGTGCAGTAAGGAGGGCTTTCTCCTCAAAGTCTTCCACGAATATATCGGCGACAATGGGAGATACAGGTGAGCCCATCGCAACACCATCTACTTGCTTGTAAAACTCTTCCTTCCACAATAGATAGCCAGATGTAAGGCAATGTCTTAGTAGTAATGCATATTCTGGTGGCATGTTACTTTCATCTAGTTTCTTCAACAGGTAGGCATGTAAATAGAGACTGAACATCAAAACTGACCATGGTTTCATTGTCAGCAAGACGTAGGTCTCTTATCTCACTGACAAAATGGTATGAATCCTTAGTATATGCTCTTGTGTGTCCTCTGAGTGGTGATAATATTTTGGCTAAGTGTTGAGCCAATCTGTAAGTTGGCGAATCGATTTGACTCACCATTGGACGTAATGGAGCGTTAGGTTTGTTTATTTTTGGTAACCTGTATGGGTTACCAAAAATACACAAACCTAACTTGGGAGGTTTTGGACACGAAGGTAAGGTATCATCGAATTGACGTCTAGATTCAATTTCTCGGAGTATTTCTTAATTAGATCGCTAGTTGTTTTAAGCCTATTAGTTGTAGGGTCTGCTTTGACCTTACGGTATGTACTTTCATCCGACAAAAGTTGTTGTATTTTAAAATTGTAATCCGACGTATCCATTACAACCGTACCATTTCCTTTATCTGCGCGAAGAATCATAAGCTCTGGTCTGTTGCGTAAGATTTTTAACGCGTTAAATTCATTTTTGGGAAGATTTAATTTCGGCGCTGTACTTCGACGTAACATAGACGAAATGTCTTGGCGTATGGCCTCTAAATCTTCATTACCAATATTATTTTCGTACATACAATCTTCAACACTACAGATGTCTTCATACGAGATTCTTCGCGGTGTAATTGCATAATTAAAACCTCTTCCTAAAACTTTTATTGTGGCGTCGTCCAGAGTTTGTTTTGACAGGTTATAGAGTACGCCTTGTTTACTATTCGTGTCTGTGGTCGTTTCGTTCTTACGTTGTCATTGATGTTGGACATTTGATTTAGTTGTTAATTTTTGGTATTTATCAAGATGTTTATTTTTGCATTCACTGTATTTAGTTGTTTCGCGTTTATCTAAAGTTTCCATGCAATTCTTATAATCAAATGTCGATAAAACTGTCTTTAATTCACTGGACGAATTGACTATGGTTTTGTTTATGAAACATAGATCGGTACGTTTTTGCTGAATCACCGTTATTAACAACTTTTTTACTCGCCTGATTTAAGATCTTAGCGCTTCCTCGAATGTCTTTTTTAGTAGATATCTTGACACACGTAGGAATGAGATTATGATCTCTGCATCTCTTCAAGAAATTTAAAGCTGTTATGTATCTTGCGCGCTTGGTCTTTAGATCTTCTAATCGGCGTATTTTATTTGCTATTTCCAGTCCGTACTGGTTTACATAATGATTTTTTATATTTACGTGAACACTATACATTGATTAAAACTACTTTTACGGACTTTATCGCGTTTTATTTATATATATTTTACTTTATTTCATTCTAGAGTAGAATTGTTTACAACTTGTCACAGTTAATGACTCATTTTTGTCAAGCAACTATACTGTCGCATTAGGTAATTCATTTAACGAGAGTCGTAAATTTAAATAAATAATTAAATATAAGAGAAATTAATTTAAAATAATTAACGTATGTTGTAGTCGCCCCGTTGCTGTCGTAAGAGGCGACAGAGGCAAACAAAACAAGAGATAAGGAGTCTTTCTAGTAATGAACTTTCGATAGGCTGTAAAAGTAACAGTAAGTAATGATTTCTTAAAATTCTCGCAAAAGAACACCGATTCCTACCAAGGATGATACGCGAGGCTATTGAAATTAAAAAACATCCAAATTTCAATAGAGAAGATGGTTGGGTGCTACCATCTGCTTGGGATCCTATAATTAACAAAATTAAACCCAAACCCAAGCATACCACTGCAAGACTTCATGATACTATAGGCTCGTTTTGCGTAAATCGGACCAAAAATTAATATAAAAAAAAACTGAAGGTAGCCGGACTAACTATGACATTGGGACGTCAAACATCTCAGTCCCCCCCCCCCGTGACCATGGGTGCTGTAAAGCACCCCGAAACGTCGGGATAATAATAAAAATAAATTAAAGTAATTAAACGCGATAAAATCCGTAAATAATAGTTTTATTCAATGTTTTATTCAAACAGTAAGTAATTTGCTGGATTGCAACAACAAAGTTCGATTTATAAAAGACCATTTTTAATGGACACTAGGCATTCCATAATGGTCTTCAATGGTTATAACTCATCTTCATTTTGATTCTCAGCCGAGAATGAATGTAGATGTCTATGAGGCACAACATTTACTTACCATCAAGTGAACTACTTGCTCGTTTGTCACCTTTATTCAATAAAAAATTATCCGTCTTTGCACTGACGTGTGTAAACACATAAACACTTACGCTTGTCACCTAAGAGGTAGGCAGACTACCGGATACCGATGGATTTCTATTTGAAACGATGCTAACGTCTTTCTCACCTCTTTAACGTCCATTCATACGCGAATATGGTTGTCCATTAAGGATACTCTTCAACCCATCTTCAATATATCACGAATTTGTTCGATAATGTGAGTAAGCGTGATGAATAAATATACATTTCAAGTAACGATGTAGGTTTAGAAACTAACGATTGATGAATAAAGATTTTAATTTGCTATTTGCAGTCCATACTAGTAGTTCTAAAAACGATTTCTTAAATTTACGCAAATACTACACACATGTAATAAAAACTAAAATTACGGATTTTACCGCGTCTAATTTTAACTCTTTTTAAATCCTGGCATTTCAGGCATTTTACAGCATCCTTGGTCACATTTATAATATTTAAAAATAATAAAAATTTCATTAAATGAAATGGAAAAACTAATCAAGTTTTGAGTCTAAAAGAAGCAAATTCACATTATATGACGTAGTAATTTATTAATGGTTAGGGCCGATTTATACTTAGTCAAGTACAGTAGCAAGTTTAGTTTACAGGGCTGTTGACACTAAACGGTTAATCATTCTAATGTCTTCGTGGCAAGTTTAGTTAAAAAAAGTAAATTTTATATTTTGAGGGTGAACGCGAACTCGCTCGTTCACACGAGCGGCGAGTTTAGTTGCTGGTGACGGGAGACACCCGGGGGAGGGCAACATTTCGAACTTGACTCGCCGAAAAAGAGACCGGCCGGCTTTCCAGTTCAACTTAATTGTGAATCTGCTACTTAACTCACTGATAGGCGTTCAAACGAGATTATTTACTTAACTCGCCAGGTTCACAAATTATACCGTTATTGTACATGTCGCAGTGTAAATCGGCCTTTAATGGTTGTATCGACTCATTCAGCTAAGCCCTCAATTTAGACAAAGTATTCGCTATCACTACTGATTGCGAGGTTCGCAACAGAAGCGTTCACCAACGCATTGGGGCAGCGTGGCGGACATTTCCTTGCCCATAAACCAGGCCTGTGGTCAGTGGTGGGACGTATATAGGATGTAAGTTTAAGTTTAACAAGAGGAGCATGCGGCTGACCTGCTTGATGTGGTGCGCGGAGGCGTTGTGGTCGTGCACGCGCTGCACGGGCGCCACCAGCAGCGCCAACAGCTCGCGGCGCGAGCAGCCCGCCACGTCCGCCGCCACCAGCGCGCTCAGCACGCCAAGCATCGCCTTCAGCGCGCCGCCTGCACACCACCACCTCCTATTTACACTCCACACACGTACACCTTACGCCTTACCGCAGCCAGTAACCCGCGTACGCATCATTCATCATCATCATTTTGAATAGGGGCTCAGTCAAGTCAAAATCAAATATTTTTATTCTAAATTGGCTTTTATAAAATACTTTTTGTACGTCAAAAACTATAACATCATTTCAATAAGTCCCTACTGCAAGGAAACTTTGTAAGAAGCGGAAAGAAGCTTACAAGTAGGCTATTTTTGCACAACAGTTACAAATTGAACTTAGAAAATAAATTAAAGAAACTTATTATGTCTATGCATTCTTATATTTTAAATAATCATCTAACTTATAATATCTTTTACTCATAAGAATGAATTTATGCAAATGTTAATAAGCAGTATTACTAAAGAATCTTGTTATAAATAGTTGTACCCAAAAACAAGCCGCTGGTTTCATGGTCTGTACTTCGGTACGATAGTTTAGATGGTATTACTCTCTTTTTTTTCGTCAAGTTTTATCACAGTTAGTTCAGCCATTCCGAAGGCAAAACACAAAGAAAATTTTAAAACAGTTACTCATGTCTCAAAGGGCATGTAAATATTTTATACAAAAGTGTTAACTGACAAAATCAACAATAATTATGAAGAAAACACTCAGAACGCTCACAAATTGGTAGAACCGGACTGAAATTTATTATTGTAATAGCATTTTGTTATCAATGATTCCAATGACAAATTGGACTAAATAGTATAGCTGCCGACACGAGTCGTGAGCACAGATAAACTGTGGTGGGAGGTAGGTACACTGTCGAATTAAATTATTGGGTACGTATATTATTTCAATTCGTAATTGAATATTTTCGCCGACTTTTATGAAATTTACTTGAACACATCAACTTTTACTTTGATACAGCAATGTTGTAGATATTCGTGTCCGTTATTTTATTATCTACTATGAAGTATTTAATGTATACCTGGTGGTTAGAATTGAATATTTTATTTAAAAGAAGGAAGAGGTAATATGCCTTCCATAAAATCTGGTGTTGCGGTACTAGTAGAGGCCCCTTCATCTGCCAGTTCATCATCATGACTATCATCACCGTAATCTTCGTCGTCATTCTCATCGTCGTCATCCTCCGAACTTGACTCAGAGTCATCATTGCCCACTTGAATGATAAACTCTTCCGTTATTTGGTCAATGATGTGGTCGTTTTTCATGTACTCCTTCTCTATATCTTTCACTTTGTCACATAATTTTGCCCATTCACTAGCACCCATTAAATTAACTTTTTCCTTAATAAGGATTATTATGCTGCTAACATTCTAGTTCACATTTTTCTGCTAACATAACCTTTTATGGCAGCCCAAGCCATCTCAATTGGATTGAGATCTGGATGGCATGGAGGTAATCTTAAGACCTCGTGACCATGTTCAGCTATAATTTTATCTATATTGAATTTTTTATATATTTCTTTATTAATTTTAATTAGATTGTACAGTTCAGGCTTAAGCATTGTTTCCTCATGCTGTATACCTGTAAGAGAATGTCATAGTGCGATAAGGCTGTCAATTGTACAAACCGCCATTGTTATTTTAATTTTACTCCGCAATATTATTCTGTGCCCAGTAAAGATTATATTATTATTATTATACATACCCTTTTCTTTCAACCAATCCAGCATCTCCAACTTCCTGGAATTTGAAGACGGTGCAAGATCGTACTGTTTGTTGTGGTAGGGTGCGTTATCCACTACCAAAACCGATCCAGGAGGGATATTTGGAATGAGTTGCGTGCGAAGCCATTTCTCATAATTTGTTGAATTCATACAATCGTAGTAATCCCCCGACTTAGCGCCTGCTTTGAATGTAAGTAGAGCATTTGGCACAAAACCTGTTTCACTTCCCGCGTAGACTATTACTATTCGTTGCCCTTTTTATATGGGTTTCTTTAGCCCTTTGGTTGACCCGTCTGACCATGCCTTAGACGTCGAATGGGACGAGTCAATATATGACTCGTCCATATAAATAATTTTCCTTCCCTCTTCTCGGAATTTTTTGATTTTTTTTAAATAAATTATTCGCTGGAACAAAATAGTCTCATTTTTAACAAATAGGATCTAAAACATTATCAATACTTATTTAAAACTAACTTTAGCCTGCAGTTTCACTCACATCATGTCTTACTAACCACCTGCAGCTAAAAAGCGAAACCTTCATGGATGGGGAAGGGAAGGCTACCTATTATATAAGGCTATATATTATATAACCCTCATGTGGCTTAGGGGTTCGGTCGCAGAGTTAGTTCCTTTATTATTTATAAGTATTGATATTTATTATAAAAATAAAATGGGTCATTTCAAGTACATACCTGGAAGCGAATATTCGATTTTTCGATTAAAATTTTTCGGTTCTCGGTTTTCTTCCACTTGAAGCCCAACATTTCAATTATACAGCGAAGACTGTGCTCTGACCCTTGAAAGTTTATATCTTTCCATAACTTTTGTCGTAGTTTTTCAATGGTAGGCATTTCTTTATTGGTAAGATGGTAGTTATGAACGCATCTTTTAACAACCCCCTGGTCAAAGTTATCTAATTCTGTGACAGAATGCTTTCGTGGTCTTTTCTTGCCTGGCGTTCTAAATACGACCAGAAATTCTGAATCGTCAACTCCTTTAACGATACGCCGTACAGTAGCTACTGAGACATTAGTCGCCTCAGCAGTCTGTTTATACACGTCTATGATATTTTTCGCAGTACCTAATTTGTTCATGTAACTAAACACTGAATAGACCATTTGTCGGGATTGTCTATTTAACACCGAATTCTTCCTTCTCTGCATATTCAGACCAAAATCTCAACACTCAAATTATAACAACAAAAATAATTGAAAACAAGAAATAACAAAAACAATTAAAAGTTTAACGGAAAAAACAAAAAAGTATACAATATGCCAAGTGTACGGAAGCCGAATGATACGTTCGCACCCAATAGACGACGAGAATTGACTAATGAACCAATCACGTTGAGCGTCAGCGTGGTCAATGTCGTATCGACCAATAAAAAGTGTGCTCACGACTTGTGTCGGCAATTATATGTTTTCGTAGCCTTTACCGGCGCCATTCTTTAACCGCAAGAACAGTAGATAACTCATTATGTTATAGTGCTACCACACGGTCGAGTATTCAGTCCACTCCGGACAAGGGAGTTAGTCCGCTTCGTACAAAATTTGTGAACAGTAATTATTATTTCAGGTCCGCCCGGTCCGATGGCTTACACGTCGAACTCGGTCCACTCCGAACCGGACGTCGTAGTGTCACGATGGAAACGTCGTGGAGTACCTTGCAGCAGCGGGGACTTGGCGAGCGCGAGGATGTTGGGCGTGAGCGCTTGGCGCGCATCGGGCGTGAGCGCGGCGGGGCAGCGCATGCAGGCGCCGCGCACCAGCGTGAGCGCCGTCTGCGCGCAGTGCAGGTCCGACTCGCACACCAGCGCCGGCACCTCCACCAGCACCTGCGCCACCACACACCCTCAATCACTTTACGCACGCCAGATGTCCCGACTTGTGACAGAGGTCAACTTATTTGTTACACAATGTCATTGTAATTGAGAAATTACATATTAAATAATACTTTATAGGTTCTAGCGTGTACAAAACAATGCCTCAGTAGTTTGCATTTAAATTTTTTTGAAGACCAGCACGGTAGATTATGTTAAAACCACAAAAATTCGAGGTTTTCTAATTTTCAAAAAAAATTTTTTTTGGATTTATTTCAACATCTTTGTTTTGATCAATTCTATAATATAATCAGCTCTTCTACTCAAAAAACAACGTCGATCGTCGATTGCTGCAAACCGCATCGAAATCGGATAATTCGTTCGAGAGATAGCGTTATCGAAAGAAGTCTCGAAAATGTGTTTTTCAAAATAACTAGAATTTCTTTAATACATTTTGTAACTATTCTATCCAAAAATTTGCAGCGATTTTCATTTGAAGTAGCCGGAGGTTGCAGTGATGGTCTGTAGGGTCAACCTTTTTTAATTCATTTATTACGTAATGATTTCTTATATTTACGCGAACACTACACATTGCTTAAAACTACTTTTACGGATTCTATCGTAAAAAAAATAAAATTATTTAATACGTTTAGAAATATGTGTATTTTGTTTATCCATTTCTTATCTAATCAATATAAAATATAACAAATATTCTAAAAAGAAACATTAATATCCACACATTTCTAACAAATTATTTAATCTCATTCTTAAATGCTACTGTGGTGGCAAAAAAGTCGAGAATTTTTAAAAGTAGATTTAGCGGTAAAAAAAGAAGTGTTATTTAAGTGATTATTTTAATATTCTCTATGAAAACATCTTAAACCACAAAATGTTTATCAATCAAAGATTTGGATTATTCCGTTTATCCACCCTAGAAAATCCACCCAAGGGTTGATAATACGAATTCACTTTTATTTGTTCTTCCGACTCTTTACCCCAAGTTCAACCCATGCATGTGTAATTAATTCATTTTTAATAACCACAAACATAATCGAAAAACATATTACGTATTGCAGTTACTGTTACCATTACAGCATTAAGTTATTAAAGTTCATGCATTATTTAAATCAAATTAAATTTCCTCGTTTTAAATAATATTATTACGTAATTTATAAATTCTGCAATAATAACCTAATCTAATATATCCAGGAAATTACCAAAACTAATTTCATTATTGATTACACGTATTTTTTACGTGGTAGAGCCATGCTGCAGTTATATTAGTAGTATAGTTGTAGCACGAATGGGTCGGCTCGACCGGGGAAGGACCACGCTCTCACAGAATACCAGCGTGAAATAGTAGCTTAATGCTGCTGTATTTCGTATGGTGAGTGTAGAGAACCGGAGACCCTTTTTACTGGAAACGAGGCATTCCATCTCAGTCCTCACGGGTGACAACGCATCTGCATTTTGATTTTTAATGGAGGATAGATGTAGATGTCTATGGGCCGCAGCAACCACTTACCATCAGGTGGACTGTGTGCTCGTTTGTCACCCTATTCTATAAAAAAAAAAAAAAAAAAATTTGATACTCTGGATAAATTCGTCACTTTTAATGTACATTTTCAAACGTTTTCTAAATTTCTTTGCTACAACAAATATTTTAGCGAAGAAACGTTACCATTAGAATGGATAAATGGAATAACCCAAAGATTTGGGAGGTATTTTCATGCAGTAATTTGGCAAAATATATAAATCACACATACATACCTTACTTAGAAGCTCTATGCTAATATCATTACTGTAATTTTGGACTAGAGTATCTAGCAGCACCAATGTTGATAACTTCAGTGCCCTCTGATTCTTTCTCAGGAATGAGCCTAAGATGGGTACTACATCAGACTGAAAAAACAATAAAAATATTAAGGAATCATAAAGACGCAATCAATATTGTATTTATATTAATATTACTCACCAAAATAGGCCTAAGATCAATTCGGAGTGGAGAAGATGCCACTTTGGTTAGAGCTTTTACAGTAGTAAGGCGAGTTATCTCATTACGTAGTCTTTCCAGCAAAATTGGTAAGCAGATAGTAAGTTCATTCTGGAATAAATACAAATGAAATATAGCGAAATATAAATAAAAATATTAAGACAAGAGCCAGTATTAGTATTTTTTTATTTAGAATCAATTATTATAAATGGGAACAATAGTATATCACGCCACTAGGTAGGAAAGTATGACATTGCTACCCGGTGCGGGTTATACTTTTCTCCCGTAATGCGTATACTATATTTTATCAGACCAGGATCGAAAGTTCAATTTAAATTCAAGTTATATACTTTATTCTCAAATTATCATAAAATATACTTTTGACGTTTAAACACTATAGAGCTAGAAATTTGACGCATGCTTACTAAATTAATAAGTCATTGAATCGGGAGACAATGTTGCACTTTCGTCCCTGAAAATAGAGTTGAAATAAAAACTTTCGATCAAGGTATGATAATATTGTATTTATGTCCCATTGATTTTTATTACTTACATAGTACAGCATTATAGTTTCGGATAAAGGGAAGATAATGCGCATCATAATAATTATTGCATGCCTTAAGCGCAAAGCGCGTAGGTATGTTCTACTAGCACCTAAAAATTAAGAATCCAACGTTTTGTCCCATGAAATCGTATCTAACAATCATATAGAATATATAAATGATATAAAAAGGACATTATCAGAAAGGTAAATGATTGTTGGACTAATTTTTTTTTATCGATTAATTGCTATTTTTATATAAAAAAAAGGTTTTATTGGCTTATGGTGTAGATTTATAAGTCCGCATGGAGAGGGTAAATACGATAACTTTTGAAAATATCAATTGTTCAACTCAATATATTGTTTAATCTCTTCGTCTATCATGTGGGAAGCCATGGAATGTAAATTGCTGTTTAATTTTGTTTTGTTTAGTTACAATTAATTTTATACGGCTGAGAAATTTTGAAACTTTCAGTGTTTGAGCAGCCTTTTAATAATATATTTTACTAAATACAGATACACTTTGACACACTGCGGGCTCGGCCGCTGTCCTTTGTTTACAGCGACTCGACATGAAAAATATCGATTGCTGTAGAAATACAAAATATTCCGAAAATCAAATTTGATACAACTTGACCAAGGTAAGATGTTGTTATTATTTTTATAATCATTATAATATATTGTTTCGCTAAATTTTTTATATAAATATACTTATACGTCTTGGACTTTATGGAGTGACCTAAAGGTGTACTTTGGTGAATGCTAAATTAAAATACTGGTTCTGACTAGATGAAAAAATTTTTGAAAAGGAAATTTGGATTTTCCAAATATTTTTATTGACGTTTGACATAAAATTATCGGAAAATTAGTAACAATAGAAAAGTTGACGTATAACATGAGCGCTTAAGGCATGCACACATTTGGATTTACCACGTTTTTTTTATTCCTATAAAAAAGTTACCCTCTCACTAGGATATTCTCCAGTATCGTGGAGGCAATTTACATACATAAATTCCGCAAGGGCAAACATTCAGACCCGGAACAATTATTTGTAACCTATACAAATACTTGTTCCGTGCGGCATTTAAACCAGCTGCCATCAGCGCCGAAACTCATTTCTAAGCCACGGCGTAACGGAGCCGTCGCTAGTACAGTATTTAAAGTTCTGTTTGCAATGTCCAAACCTGGCCAACATTTGAACAAAAACACATTTAACATGCTTATTAGGTGTGGTTGGTTATATTGATATCACTGACATATATCTCTGACATTTGTACTAAGGAAAGAGTTTGTTGGCGGACGTAAGTCCACAAGCAGAATACTTCATAATGACTTCCTTTACCGCCTAGTTCATTGTTTACCTCTATTATAAGTCAGTGCTTGACTACTATTCCACCTGATCTGATGCATCAACCCAGAACATGTTATACCTACGCTTTTCAGCTTGGGCGCATTCGACATGTTCGAGCTTTGCTACCGATTGGTTTACATGCAAGAGGTATACGATACTCGATAGCTTGACGCACCGCATCGGTTATAGTAATATTAGAACATATCCGCAGCAGAGAAGCAAACCTCCCGCCCGGAATAGGATGCAAGAAAGTGCGGCATCTCATCGCACTACGCTGGACGTAGCAGCAGGCATGGAGAATAGCAGTTGAACGAAGTGTTGCATTGACAACTTAATAACACAATGCAGAAACAATTCATCATCCGTAATTGTCCAGGAGGCTGCTGAGCGGGATCAGGATCAAGATTGCTCGGATAGGACGCCAAGGCGCTGATCAACGACCACAACCTGATGGTAGAATACTCCTACTAGAAATGGAGAAACTGTGTTTACGGGCGATAGTACAGACAGTACAGAGGCCCCTGAACATCTAGTAATGAAACTCCGAGGAAGATGTTGATTCAGAAGTGGTCTTAAGATATCGTGATAGCGCTGCAAGTATGCTGTGGGTATTAAGTGCTACTTCTGAGATGTGCTTCTAGCAAAACACGAGGCCCAAACCCCCTAACCCCCACAGAGAAGTCCACCTAAAAAAAGGGGTAACAGCGGGAACCGCACCCCATAAACCATCATAGTTTTGCGGCGTTTTGTTTAATTCGGTTCGACAACGGCTCCGCATCAGAATTACCAACCTGCAAGTAGTCCCCGAAGTGGCAGAGCAGCTGACCGCAGGCGGCAATGGCACGCTCCTTCACTTCCTGGTCCATATCGGTGGCACGCAGCCTCACCAGCGTGCACTCGTACATGGCCGGGATGAACTGCTGCAACTCCGGCGGCGGCGGCTCGATTTCGACCTCCTCTTCGCCTATGTTCTCCACATGATCTACAAAAAAACGCAGCTGTTGTTTAATGATTCATAACATGCTAGATGAAATGACTTATTAATTTGCTCTTGCTCAACATAAGTTGCGGGAACCAGATGGTAGAAAAATTTATAGCTGTGGAGTAGTGGGCGGCAGTTTTGTATTTGGCACGGAACAACTATTTGTGTGTTAAAAAAGTCCTTGAGCAATTTATAAGCGTAAAAAGCATCCATGATATAGGAGAAATTTCTAAAATGGCTAATATTGAAAAAATAATAAAAAAATTACACAGCTTAAGTTACCGCGCTGTAGTAAAACTATAGTGATTTAGAGCTACACATATTACACAAATAAAGTGGTGTTATTAAAAGGCTAAAAGTTACAACCTATATAATATGTACGTCTGATCTGATCTGAGAGGGTTACACTTATTATACATGATAAAACTAAGAAACTTACCCAAAGGACGCATGACTTTCACCAGTGTCTGTAGAACCCTGAGCGCTTCAGCAGTGACCTTATAGAACGGATCATGAACACTGGCCAAGACGGCGGGCATCAGAGCGGCTACATGGGGCCGCATGGTTTCAACTGGGTGTCCACGGACAAGGCATACTATGAACACTAAGGTTTCGATCTTCATGGACGATGAGGTACTTTTGTCCCTGTGAAATATAAAAACAACGTGTTTAATTTTTAACTTACTTTAAAATTAAAACATTTTTTTTCTAATGCGAAATCCATAAAATTAATTTCATACGTATTTCTAAAAGATCTACATGGTAGGGTTCCTATCTGGCAAAGGAGTATATCTGGTTCGTCTACTGTTTTGTTTCTGTTTGAAATGTAAAAGAAAATGTACAATTAAAGGCTAGAACTCTCCATAGCTCGCTGAGCGACTTGGAGCGTCCTCATACGGCCAGCAGTAAAGGACCACGTCTCGGTTCCGTAGGTCATCACTGACAACACGCACTGGTTGTACAACTTAGTTTTCAGGTTTTGAGGTATACCTGACGATTAGATGTGTCGTAATTTCCCGAACGCTGCCCAGCCGAGTTGAATCTGTTGATTGACGTCTCGGTCGAAGTTGGACTTACCTAGTCGGACTATTTATCCCAGGTAAACGTACTCGTCAACAACTTCGAGCTTAGTGCTCCCAACAACTACCGGCATAGGTGTGACATGGACATTAAACATGATCTTTGTTTTGTCCATGTTCATCTTAATACCTATCCGTCGGGAGGCACTATTGAGGTCATTGAGCATAGTGCTTAAGTCCTCCAGCGATTCTGCCATAAGGAAGTCGTCGGAAAATCGAAGGTGAGTGATGTACTTGGCATTGATAATGCTGTATCCTTTCCAGTCCAATAGCTTGAAAACGTCTTCCAATGCAGCGGTGAAGAGTTTCGGGGAAATAACGTCCCCTGTCTTACACTTTTCTGCAGTTGGATAGGTTTCGTACTCTGGTTCTGTACTCGAAAACTCGGATAGCCATCGTAGCCATACTGTACAAACACTTCAGCACTTTGATATACTGACTGTCAATTTGGCACCGCTGAAGAGACTGTAGCACCGCCTAAATTCCGACGGAACCAAAGGCTTTCTCATAGTCCACATACGCCAGGCAAAGTGACAGATTGTACTCTTCGGACTTCCGTACAATTTGCCGAATGCTATGTATGCGGTCAATGGTACTAAAGCCTTTTCCGAAAGCGGCTTGTTCGGGGGGCTGGAAGTCGTCGAGTCTGCGTGCGAGACGATTCGTAATGACTTTTGAAAACAGATTTTCGGAAACGATGCTGCCACACAATCTTCAGCTTTGACAGTTGTCTCTTACTGGCAGACATATCTCTGGCAAAGACTCTGGTTCCGCTCGATCGCTTCTTCAATACGAGCGGTATTGAAGATGCGCAAGTCACGCCGCATGCATTTGGAGATCTGTCTGTTCAGTTGCCTGCATGCTGTCAAATCTGTTGAAGATTGAAGACGTCATCTCCCGTCTAACAGCCATGAGATTAAAAGTGTGATCGGAGAGTTTTTGTGTTCTTCTGCGGCGGGTCTTGCAGAACTTAGCTCCGACCGCATGGACAGTTTCAACGAGCTTGTCATTCATATCGTCCACTGCATTGCAATTTTCTAGGCACTGAAAGCGGTTACGTAAATAAAGCCGAAAGGTTTCGGGATTCTGGATTAGAGCACGAGGGGAACGGAGCGTTGACTTCATTAGAAGAGACCTCTCCAACTTAACGTTTAGGTTCAGTGTGCCGATAACCATTCGGTTATCGCTGCCAGTTTTCACCCTTGCGATCACTAAGACATCACAGAACAGTTGGCGTCTGGTCCTCATAATGAAATCAATCTCATTCTTTGTCGATACCATCGGGGCTCGACCAGGTCCACTTCCTATGGGGCCGCTTCTGGAAGAAAGAATTCATCATAAAGAGTCCCTCTTTCTACATAAAGTCGGCCAGCTACTGGCCCTACCCCCATTTCCCTCCCTCACCTTTCTCTTCCTAGTTTTGCGTTGAAGTCTCCCATCAACACCGTGTAGAGGGTTTTGGAGGAATGCATAGCTGTGGAAATATCCTCATACATTTTCTCTACCTTCTCATCGGGATGTGCCGAGGTTGGTGCGTAAACCTTTATGACCTTCAGCGAATACCATTTGGTGATTCTGAGTATCAGGTACGCGACCCTCGTCGACACACTCCCAATCTTTACAACGTTGTTGACGAGAGACTTGTGGACGATAAATCCGACACCTCTTGGGACAGATGGTCGCCCTCCCGGTGATAGAACAAGTTGCCGGACTCGAGGATTACCGTGTCCTCCCCCTCTCTTCGGACCTCGGATAATTCAAAAATATGCCAGCGCAACTTGTCTACCTCTTCTTCCAGCACCAGTATCTTCTCGTCAGTCCTCAGGGTGCGTGCGTTATATGTTGCCAGGTCGAGTTGTCGTAGGTGGTAACCGATCCTCCACCGGAGATTCTTAGCACCCCCTGCCCCGCCGTTACCATGCTTGTAACCGTAGCCAGGAATAGCAGGGCCGCCGGGGACTGGGGGCCGTTTGTTTGCGTCGTTATTCATGGTCGTTGCCATAGTTGCCACGCTTGGCGAGCGGGTTGGCAACCGCAGTTTTTTTTATTATATTATTGTTGTTATTCGGAAGATGCTGCTGCCCATCTCCTGCCTGTCTCCCTCTGTCGCCTCTTACGACACCCACGGGAAGATATGGGGTAGTGGATATTCTCAACCGCCACTACACGGCACAAACTATCCGCAGTAGAACCAGAGAGACCGACATAGCCCAACGGATTAGTAAGCTGAAGTGGCAATGGGCCGGCCATATAGCTCGAAGAACCGACAACCGTCGGGGAAAAAAGGTTCTCGAGTGGCAGCCTCGCACCGGTAGGCGAAGTGTAGGGCGACCCCCCACTAGATGGTGTGACGACCTGGTAAGACATGCAGGAAATCGATGGATGCAGGAGGCCTATGTTCAGCAGTGGACTTGTGAAGGGATGTAATGATGATGATGATGATGAAAGGCTAGAGGCATTTCTTCTAGTTCTCAGAGCTAGGTCTGTAGCGCACCTGAAGTCTTTGTTTGAATAAAACTAGTTTTTTTTTTTCGCGTACACTATTTTATATTACCTTTTTTATATTCTCGACGTTTCGAGCACTTTACAGCAGACGTGGTCACAGGGGGATTGAGGTGGTCAACGTCTAGATGTCCTAGTTAACTGCGGTTATCCACAGATTAAAATGATTAATTTTTGTTCAGATCTACATAGTATGAACTTATAGTATCTTGAAGCTTTGCAGTTGTATGCTTGGATTAGGATTTAATTTTATTAATTATAGAATCTCAAGCAGATAGTAGCGCCCTGCCATCTTCTCTATTGAAATAAGGAAGCTTTTTTGATTGATTTCAATAGCCTCACGAATCATCCTTAGAAGGAATCGGTGTTCTTTAGCAAGGATCTGTGGTCTATCAAATCTGATGTAGTGACAGGAGCGATCCTGTACAGACTGCAGACTTCCCGGAGCATCGATTCTTACGCTATATGTCTGAATTCATTCCATTTATATTAAACATCCCCCTCCCCCCTTGACCATGAGTCCTGTAAAGGGCTTGAAACGTCGGGAATATAAAAAAGTTAATATACGCGATAAAATCCGTAAAAGGTAGTTTTATTTAAATGTCTTAATATTAATATTCTATTAATAGTCTTGATATAATTTTAATAGTGTTTGTTTGAATCGACAATAATCTATGGGCTGCAGTATCTGTCTTATGAGTGTTAGTTATCCAGTGCAATGTTCGTACTACGCGATTCGAAAAAGAATACGACTGACCTGGCGCGGCATATTGTGACGTCATAGCTGTCAATTCAAACCAGTCAGGTAGGGTGGGCAAAACAGATATTTTGACATAATATTTATTTACAAAAGAAACAGGAACAAAGAAAGAAGTATTAATCCGAATCTAGCATTTCAATCTCGCTCATCTCTGCATCATTGTCTGAGTAGTTATCATTGTATTCAATTAAAAGTGGTAGAGTCAATCTGCAGTTATATTAGTAGTATTATTGTAGCACGAATGGGTCGGCGCGACCGGGGTAGGGCCACGCTCTCACAGAATACCAGCGTAAAATAGCAGCTTAGCGCTGCGGTGTCTCGTATGGTGAGTGTAGAGCACCGGAGACCCTTTTTACTGCAAACGAGGCATTCCATCTTAGTCCTTACGGGTGATAACGCATCTGCATTTTGATTCGAAATCGAGGATAGATGTAGATGTCTATGAACCACAGCAACCACTTACCATCAGGTGGATTATGTGCACGTTTGTCACCCTATCCTATAAAAAAATCATTATCATCACTGATGCTTTCTCTTATAAAAATAGGACATGGATTTATGTAGCTATTTAAAATATTCCACCGACTAGTATAAATATTTAAAATTAATTTATAAAATTAAAATTCAATACATTTGGTAATACTAAGACAAAGATAAATAAAGTGGGGAAAATATTATTATTACTATACATTAGCAGGCAGGCAGTTGAAACAACTGATAATGCCTGTATCCTGTTCCTGTATCCGTTTGTGTCCATTAGTTACACCTTGTTACGGCCCTGAGTTACCCCGACAAAAGTCGACAGGATCAGGGCCCATCAGTAATCCAACTCGACGAGCAACCGAGGGGAGGGCCGAAATGGCCTATGGATAATTAATTTATAACGGCTGTATAAGCAAACACAAACTTACCGAGCTCCGGAGGTAGTGTCGACCATAATATGTATGTGTGAGTGTAGAGTATAAATGGTATGTGTGAGTGGTGTAGGAAAGTCTGTAATGTAACCTGACGTCACCGAGGTAATCTTTCAGCAGAACCACATGCGTTGCCCGCTCCACAAGGCGCTCACCGCTATCGGAACTCAAGTCTAACGTCACATAGCACAAACTATAATCGAGCGCGATCTCCACCCGGATCACAAAGTTTAGCGTTCCACACGACAAAGCAAAATTCCTTCGTACAATATTAATTACACAAGCCACTCGTCGACGCAAATTAATGTCAATCGAAGATAAGTAATCACTCAAAACTCAAGAAAAGCCTCGTTGTCACGTATGTAAACGAAATAAGACAACACAAAAGGAGGCCGTCTTAATGTGACGTAACGATTCTTACGTAACTCAACCTCTAATCGACACGGCCGTCGCGTACAATCTAATATTCTAGACTCGCAGGCGCGGTCGCCGGCGAAAACGAATACACCCCCCCCCCCCGCAACCCGCCAAACCGGTTCATCGCCCGGGACTAGCGCCTTGCAAGTTTCAAGAACGAAAACCATTTCAGAAAATGATTGCCTAATCTATTATTGAATTGGTTCACATTTTGGACTGAGATTACGTTCTCTGGCAGCTTATTCCACTCTGACTACATACAATGAAGCGTGAGGTGTTTGAAAAGCTACATACTTAAATGTCCCGAGCTGTTTTCATTACGAATAAATAATTTGCCAAACTCTTCAACGTTGTAATGTCCACTTAAGATCTTAAAGGTTTCAATTAGATCTCCTCGGTCCCGACGGTTTATTAATGTTGTAATTTTTAAAACTTTCTTTATAAGACTGCTGTTTCAATAGCCATGGTACTTTTGTGAAGCTACGCTGTACTTTTTCCAAAGCTTCAATATCCTTGATAAATGTTCAGACTTGAAATGTGTGTTCTAATATCGTTTGATAATTGTTTTGTGGATCTTAAGCATCATTTCCGGTGTTAGGACAGCGAAAGCACGGTAATTTTATCTATACAGTATTCCAACTCCATACAAACGAACGAAGCGAGAGCTGCGCTCGGCATGCAGACAGTCGTGACTACCGCAGTGATGATTTTGTGGAATATATATAAAAAATGGAGGAAATAAATAATAGAATAGAAATAAAAAATAAAATCCGAACTTCATATAAAACCAAACATATAAATTGTAAAGTAGCTGCAGGTATCTATAACCAAGTAAAAGATATTCCTTTTCTCCACCTTGTCCATGTTTCCCAAAACAATTTTTAATTAAGCTTTATATAAGAATGCGGATTTTTTATGCTTAAAATTTTAATAATAAAGCATTTCGTACGTCTCAGCCGAGGCGCAAATATTTTTCGGTCGTAAATTTATAAGACCGATTTGTTATTCAAACATACACATGTTGTTTTTTAATTAAATCTACCAATCAAAAAACGACACGCATTTTTATTGAACACTTCCTATTCAATTCACAAAGTACCTATTATATTTGTTTATATAAAAAAGTATATTTAAGTACAATCATAAAACTAAATGGAAATACAAAGTAGGCAAATGTAAAAATGCTGGAGGCAGGCAGCCTTATCACATGTTTACGTACCGCGCGGCTGTAGGCATTTATTTCAAAGATACGGCCGAGTTACAATACTGTATAGATAATATTACCGTGGCGAAAGCTTTTCTCACGAGGTAAATTACTCTCTTAGCTTTCTTGACAATTGTTGATTTATTCTTTTCCCACTTTAAGTCTTTTGCAATTATTACTCCCACATCTGTTTGTACTGAATGTTAAATATGTTATTAATATGCAAATTAATTTTCTTTTCAAGTGACAGTTGACAACCGCGGTCATTGGAATTCTTTAATAATAATAATAATAATCTTTATTCTCAGAAAAACATGTAACAAAATTTTCCATATTAAGTACGATTACAGGCATCCGTATACTAGTAACATACTAGTATACTGACGTAGTAGTCTCTGACGTTCCTATTCTTATTTGAATTGTATACTACTGAGCTACTCACGTGAGCGCGGGCGTGAGGGCGCGGATGACGCGCGCGGCGTGGTCGGCGAGGCAGCCGGGCGCGGCGGCCAGCAGTTCTCGCAGCAGCGCCAGTGCGTAGCCGCGCGCGCGTACGCTGCGCCCGCGAATCACGCGCAGCGCGCCGCGCACCACGCCCGACACCTGCATCGCACTCTCACTTACAACCTTTTTTTATTACTTACATCGTATTAACTACAAGCCCTTTCGCCTAAAATAATCGATCAAAAACAACATCATCCAAATTATTATGAACTAGCGACCAGCCCCGGTTTTGGCTGGGTGGAATATATTAATATAGCGTCATTAACTTTTTTTCTAAATAATGATCTAAGAACATTTATTTCATTAATTTTTCGATTTGATAAACAAATATACAAGTTTTTCGGAGAAGATATAGCCTAAATCGTGATGAACCGAAGCATCGCACTGGCATCGGAATCACATATTAGGTGTATTTTTGCGCCTGCGGTCATGCGATTCAAGTGCTACCCATCTCTCTGTGTTGAGCATGAACACACGCATTTTACAGAGTAGTTATAGAAACGCACCAAAAATTTTTCATTCCATTTATGTTTTATAACTGTATTGTATAAATGTTTTGGTTTGTCGCTTTTTATTTCTAGTGTTTTTGTTTTTAACTTAATATTTTTAAGTTGTATAAAAGATAAACAATAGCTAATATAAATTAAATGAAATTATTTGAATAAAATCAATTTCATATGAAATACAAGTTTTGTATATTAAGCATAAATTATTTCATTTACTTAGGACCGGAGTACTAAAAAGTATGTGTGACGTGTGTATAGCTTACATTCGTTTTTCATCGTTACATTCATTACATTTGATAAACCTGTAAAGTTTCATATTATGTTACATCTGGTGTCTCAAGTACACAGCATGTTGTGTGCGCTGTGAACCACGCTTACCACGTTAAAATTTATGTAGTGTTTAGACACTCATTCTTACCTAGTGTATCTACAGTATTTGTAATAATATATTTTATCAGTGGCATAAAATGTTAGGTACATAATTGTCAACCTGTACAGTGTACGCAAGAAATACATCAACGAATGACACACGCCTACTGACTAAATATATCGACAATTTGTGCAAAGCGACTGATATCAACTGAACACTGGATATTTACAGATTATGGATAAAAATATTACAAGTTTTTTTTTAAATAAAATATTACATATGTTGTAATTGAGTACACTTTCTTACAATTTCTTACTTCGAAGGTATTTTGAAAAACTTACCCTTTGCAAAAGCAAAGCCTGAGGAGAGTCATCAGATGGAGCAATAGGCATTTGTAATGCTGGAGGCGGACGTGTGGCTCTCAGGAGGGCTGTGTAAGCACTTAAAATATCGCATTTAACGTTTTCCTCACGTTCTGATAAAGAAAAAAAGCACATTAGTACAAGTACACTTTGTAACATACAAAAATGCAAAAGAAATGATACCTTTGAATCTTGCGATCAATGCAGGCGAAACAGTTTGATACATTTCTGCCAAAAGCTCATGTCTTGTTGCTATTACGGATTCCAAGCACTTGGCTGCAGCACGTCGTACCTATTCGTATTATGAAAAAAATACATAAACTTTTTCAAAATATAATTTTACACGTTATTTAAATATATAGTAATATTGTATAATAATAAAATAAAAATAATACTAGAAATATAAATAAAATAATAAATTTTACAATACGGGAAACAACAGCCCGGTTTCGTTCACCGCCGGCACCAATGAAATTGTTAATTGCAATTTTGAATGCCAATTTGCTACGTACTCGGCGGTGAAGGAAAACATCGTGAGAAAACCTGCATGTCAAAAAATAAAAAGTTAAAATTTTATCAAAGTTACAGCCTGAGAAATAAGAAAAGAAAAAATATATTTAAGACATGTACAGTAGAATCCCGATTATACGGACACGGATATTCCGTATAATCGAAAATCCGGATAATCGATTACAAGGTCAAATCAAACAATATTTAAATTTTAATTAATTTTTATTATGTAATGTATGTTCGTGAGATATCGTTAACGAAAAATTTTGAAAAAAAATTTTTTTTTAAATTACTTCGATATATCTTATTCAACATCATGGGAGCGCTTCATTACGTGTTCATAATATAATGATATCCTATTTTTCCTTTTAACTATTTATTTAAAAAAAATTATAAGCTTATAAGTAATCAGTAACATCTTTCCTATTTGTTTGTATAGGTTTTATTGTGGTCACGAATATTAGTTTCAAAGTAATAAACACCATACTCACTTTCCAAGACATGTCATCATCATCAGAGTATTCTTCAGAGTCAGATTCTGCTTCTGCATCAGGTTCAATCGATTCATCTTCCATCTCCTCATCTTCACCTCCTCCACCTCCTTCCTCATCTTCATAGTTGTAGTTCGGATCATAAGTGATCATTTTCAGGCACAGATCTATAATCTAAATAACAAAAATATACAAAGTTAATGTTGAATATTCTTAAGTTCAGAAGAGACTGGCTAAATCTAATTAATTATAGAAAACTTGCTTACAGTTGGGATATGAGTTTGTACTTCTTTAGGACACTTAAGAACAAATGCTTCAAGTGCTTGAAGACAATGTTCACGTAATTCCTCGTCAGCATCAGTAGAATGCTCTAGAACTTGTGGAGCTACACGCCAAAGTTGTTCACCAAATCGATGACCTGCTTGACGACTGAAATTTTTTTAGTATTTTTATTTATGTTACAAGTATAAAAAAGTTTTCGTTTTCTACTCTTATACAACCGAAGTGACTAAACAATCATACAGTCCACCTAATGGTAAGTGACTACAGTAATCTTTGGACACCTGCAGCCATCTTCAAAGACTACAGTTGAATTGTCACAGGTGTGGACTAAGATTAGGTTTCGTATGGTAAGTGTAGAGAACCGGAGACCCTTTTTACTGGAAACGAGGCATTCCATCTTAGTCCTCACGGGTGATAACGCAACTACATTTTGATTTGTAATCGAAGATTGATGTAGATGTCTATGGGCCGCGGCAACCACTTACCATCAGGTGGACTGGTGTGTTCGTTTGTCACCCTATCCTTTAAAAAAAACGTGTTCTAATATATGTTCCTGGGGGATGGAGGGAAGTGAAAGTCATGTTCATACCCAAACCAGGTAAGAACGAACGAAGTTCAGACCCTAAATCCTATAGGCCTATTAGCCTCACATCCTTTCTTCTAAAGACGATGGAGAGGATGTGTGAACGGGAGTTGAGAGGGTCGGCGCTAATTAACGTACCGCTACACGAAAAACAACACGCCTATAGCTTAGGTAAATCAACAGAATCGGCACTTCACCAGGTAATAACAAAGATTGAAGAGGCCATCCAAAACAAAGCAATATGTCTAGGCTCCTTCATAGACATAGAAGGTGCTTTTGACAGAACAAATTTCTCCAGCATAAAAGGTGCCCTAATTAGACATAATGTTGAACCGGCGCTGATTGACTGGATAGTAAACATGCTCAGTACACGAACAATAAAGATTGCTGGTGAATCTCAGACAATTCAGATCATGAAAGGATGCCCGCAGGGTGGGGTTCTTTCACCTCTCCTGTGGAATATGGTCATTAATGAGCTCATCAGCAAATTAAACGCTAATCATTTCTACACAGTTGGTTATGCAGATGATCTGACAATACTGGTCTCTGGTAAGACAGCAAGCATTGTGTGCGACCTGACCCAAGCGGCTCTCCGTATTGTGGAGAGATGGTGCAGGGAATATGACCTAACCATTAATCCAAATAAAACGGTTATAGTAATGTTCACACAAAAACGAATGCTGAATAACTATCATCTTCCAAGTCTTTTCAGCACAAAACTCCAACTTTCTTCCGAGGTAAAATACCTAGGTCTTACCTTGGACAGTAAACTTAACTGGAACAAACACATAGAAAACAAAATAAGCTAGTTTAACTTTCTGGCAGTGCAGAAACATGATTGGCAAACGATGGGATTTAACGCCAAAAATTATACTGTGGCTGTACAAAACTGTAATTCGGCCCATGATCACATACGGCTCTCTGGTATGGTGGACCAAAACCAATGAAGCCACCACTATACAAAAGCTACAGCATTACCAGAGATTAGCTTGTATGGCTGCCACGGGCTGCATAAGGACAACACCAACAGCAGCTTTGGAGGCTATGCTGGAGCTAACACCGCTTCATCTATATATACAACAAGAAGCAACTTTAGCTGCCATTAGACTCAAGACCCTAAATCTTTTAAGTAAGAGTAGAGTCCCCCATACAGATATAATCGATAGAATTTACTCAAAAATTCCTATCTTACAAGCCAAGTATGATAGGATCCCAAAACAATTTGTATTTGATAAGAAGTACAGGATACAATTGAAGGAAACTGACCCTCTGGAAGGATTGGGTCCAAGAGAGCTCAAAGTTTTCACGGATGGCTCTAAGACAAATGAACCGCCACCGCTGGGTACCCACAACAAAGTCTTCCAGGCTGAATGAATGGGTATCATCCAAGCGGCCATAGCAATAGATGCTAGGAAGGTGAAAGACTTCTCCATCAGAATACTGACCGACAGTATGGCGGTACTACAAGCTCTGAGTTGCAATGTGACGAACTCGGGACTGATATACAAGTGCCATCAACGATTGAAGGAGGTATGTAAGCACAACAATGTGACTCTGCAATGAATCAAGTGACACAGTGGATCTAGAGGCAACGATGCAGCAGATGAACTGGCCAGAAGGGGATCGACCCTAGCAACTATAGGGCCGGAACCAATAATACCAATCCCCTTTGGCTACGTTCATTCACTGGTACGTAGATACTTCAATAATTTACACGCTCAGCTTTGGAAAAATTTAGTAGAATGTAGACAAGCTAGGGAGGCCCTACCTGAAATAAACAGTCGTCTAACTAAGGTTCTAATGAGACTGAACAAGCCACAGATCAGAATAGTAACAAGTGCTATCACAGGACATGGCTCTTTTAACAAACATTTACTGACAGCCCCCTGTGCAGGGCATGCATGGGAGAGGAAGAAACGGCGGCTCATGTGTTGCTGACATGTCCAGAAGTCGCTTCATACAGGGCTAAACATCTCGGCACGCCGGGATCGCTCCCCGAAGTTGCTTGCAACATCAAGGGACTGCTGAGCTTCTTCGGGGAGATATCATGGCTCGAATAAGCATATTCCTGCCCACACGCAAAATACGCGCTTAGACGTGGAGTTGCGGAAAACAGCCCGTCGTAAACTAAACTACCATCAGGTGGACTGTGTGCTCGTTTGTCACCCTATCCTATAAAAAAATGCTTAACAGCCTGTAACTATACTTCGGACTTTAGGAATTCGGACTTTGGCACCTGAAATAGGTAGGAGGTTAGTACCTACCCAGGCAGAATCCTGGGCACAAAACGAGTCCAAGCAACTATTAAACATAAAGCCAGTAATAAATACCTGGGTGGATTGAAAAGTACTCGGCCTAACACAGATCCATTCAATTCTAAAAATCAAATCTACCCACATTATTTAGTTCAGTTCAGACTAGTTCATTGTGTGAAGTTCGAAACGTGTGCGATAATTAGTTGTGATTTTATAAATTTATTAACAAAGTAATCGGACATAATTTCCGCGAATGGAGCTAATCGAGCAGCGTGCCGTCATTAAGTACCTCCATAAGAAGGGGCTATCATCAAAAGCCATCCATGATGACATGGTCAGTACATTAGGGGATTGTGCTCTGTCATATTCATCCGTCAAAAAATGGATAGTAGAATTTAAGCGTGGTAGAGAGAGTGTGAAAGATGAACCCCGCTCTGGAAGGCCTTCGACGTCAACTACTGACGAAAATATTAAAAAAGTACTTGATTTAATAATGGGAGACCGCAGATTAAAAATTAGAGAGATAGCCGAGATTAGAGGCATCTCTTATGAACGAACTCAAAACATCATTGTCAACGAGTTGGGTTTCCACAAGGTGTCTGCGAGGTGGGTTCCGCGACTGCTTTCAGTTGAACAAAAAAGGACGCGATTGACTATTTCACGCGACTGTTTGGAGTTATTTGAAGCCGATGCAGATGATTTTTTGAATCGTTTTGTTACTATGGACGAAACATGGGTTCATTACTGTACACCGGAAACAAAACAACAATCAAAACAGTGGAGAAGACCTGGTTCACCACCCCCTAAAATGGCTAAGTCGATTTTGTCGGCAAATAAGGTGATGGCTTCAGTATTCTGGGACTCGAAAGGTGTGATTATGATTGATTATCTTGAAAGGGGTCAGACTATAAACTCTGATTACTACTGCACCTTACTATGTTGTTTACGAGAGGAAATAAAAGAAAAACGTCGAGGAATGCTCAGAAGAAAAGTCCTGTTTCATCGAGATAACGCCCGTGTTCACACGTCAGTACAGTCAATGGCTGAAATTCACAACTGTGGCTTTGAACTGTTACCGCATCCGCCGTATTCACCTGATCTGGCACCATCAGACTCCTTTCTGTTCCCTAACCTAAAAAAGCACTTGGGAGGTCAAAGATTTTCGACAAACGACGAGGTCAAAGCAGCTGTAGACGCATATTTTGACTCTAAGGAAGAATCATTTTTTTTCAACGGTCTAAATGCTTGGAAGGGGAGGTGGCAAAAGTGTATTGAACTTGATGGTGATTATGTAGAAAAATAAAAATATAACTGATTTAGTATGTGTTTATTTTCTTGGTTAGGCCGAGTACTTTTCAATCCACCCTCGTATGTATAGTCTAGTAACTAGATGTTTGTGCTGTTAGTCTATGCGACTCTTACAGCTTCATCTGTCTCAGGTCTCGAAGCCTGCAAGGCCGCGAGCTATTTAAAAACGAAAGGCAATGAGGTGAGGATGATGACGAAATGGTTTGTGATTTGAAATTGTTACCAATCATCATGTCGCCTTTTTAGGCGTTTTTCTTTGAGCTATCTAACCGCAGTCCGAGGGGGGGGGGGAGTGCGGACCCCCGTCTCTGACTGCTTAGCTCGTGTCAGTCGATGGTCTGGGCGGTGAGAACCGTCCAGGAACGCGGGTGTACGGTGTGTACGCGGTGTGAGCTGGAACGCGTCGTGCCCGTCTGTGGGTGCGACGCGTCCCATTCGTTGTCCTAATAGTGTTTGTCCCATTTAGTGTGGGTGTGGTGTCGTTGTGTGATGTGCCTACGGTTATACCATTCTGAATATTAAGCAGGACAGAGAGGCTGAAGCCAGTAATTTTGATGTTACTTTTGTATAATACATATACTTTTGTCTGTACATAATTTTATTAATACCTATGTATGTATTATGTATGTATACTATTAAAAATGTAATTGTGGCCGGTGAGGAAGGAAAAGGGGAGATCTCCAGACGGGAAAGGTGTTCTGCCCGGGGAGCGGCCAACGCTCCGTGTGATAGTTAGGAGATATTCTATATATACTGTTTATGATTCGGAATGTTGATAGCGTGATTTAGGCGTCGGTGTATTTCGCTTGTGGCGGGACGACAGCGCCGCCACATCACCCCCTGCTCAGACCGGAGGTCGATAGTGCAGTCGAGTTATCGACGAATGTGCAAGTGCCAGGAGATTGCCTTGTAGTCTGCGGTGAGTCGAGAAGAAGGCAAGTAATCTGCGAGAGTGCCGTGAAGCAGAGGCGAGCAGTAAGGCTCAGCGCCGTGCCGAACACTGTATAGCGCAGAGAGTAGCTTGAAGGAACAGGAAGCATTATTAATCCAGTGCTGCGATGAACCTTGTGAAGCTAGCTGGCTTGCAGGATATGAAGACTGCAGACGATATCTGCTCGAGAGCGAATGAGCGAATGGGTGGGGTATTCTATGACGATGATGAAGCTTGAAGTTTCCGAAGGTTGTTTGGTTGCGTGTTCAGATCACGTCGGTTAGTCACCACTGTAATAGTGGAGACGAACTGTCCACTATTAACAGACTCCGAGTGGTTTTCTTTAAGGTGGAGAAATGAAACTACTGTTTATGTTTATGAATGTACTGTCGAATGGGATTCGGAATGGAATATATTTTGCATCAACCTTGCCTATATTTATATGGCTGGCTCACTATTGATTTGCCAATGGTAACAATTAATATTTTGCCTAGCCAATTATATTGCTTATTTTATGACCAATGAAAACTATTTAAAATATACAATTATCTACGTTTCGTTTCCCGGCGTGAGACTTGTTTGTTGTTCACGAAGCTACGTCGCTGGACCGGGCTATATAAGACATGCAGATCGGTGCGCACGCGTAGTCGGCGGGCGGCGGCGGTGTGGAATACAGCTCCGGAACAGCAAGAGGAAACGAACTGCGGCGTTGAAGAAACGGCTCACCATTGGTCGAAGGATACGTGACGATAGCGGCGTGTGAAGTCGGTGTGGCGCTGAATGATATTTGCGGCTGCTTCTTGTTTCTTTATAAGATCGTCAAATTATCTATATACAGTCCGCAGTATCTCAGTAGCCAAGAATAATTAGGAAATAAAATGTTTTTTTATTTATTCTCGCCTTCCGCGTTATGGTAGCAGCGGAGTATATCTTATTTATTCCCGTTTCGGTTTGATTAATCTGGCTGCTACATAATAAATAAGATATTTTGATTTTTATATGAATTCAATGCAAAAAATTACATAAAATACAAAGATTTCTTTAGATTATTTTTTATATTTAGATATTTTCTTTAGATTATATAAAAAAACATTCCGACATGTTTCAAAAAATAGGCAGATACATCAAATTTTTAGTAAATGTTAGTTATTGCCTTTTATGTAAAATTATATTATAATTTTATACAAAAGCATTATGGATGCTTTCTGCTAATTATAAAAAATAAATTCTCAGCCTATTTTGTTCATTTAATCAAATTAATGTTGAGTGTTGAGAGATCTTTGTATCGCGCCGCCTTGGCACGAGCCACATCTTGTCAACAGCGCCGCCTCGAATTCAAAGGTCGCCGCGTGCGGCGTACACCCACAGAAGAATTGGGTATTTTAAAACAAAGCACCATAATGAAAGGTTCTTTGCTACCTAACTTGTGTTTATGATTTTTAGAATAACTATAAGAATTTAACCATATTCTTAGAATAGAAAAACATTATTATTATAAGTACGCCTCCGGGTATACAGACACTATATTAGTAAACAGACTATACATATAAGACCACAAGCACTTTTAAAAAATCTGTTAACAGATACTGATCCATAGAAGATTAACTCATTACTAATGAAGAAAAAGGCAATCATTATGAAAGTATTTCTTCTTATCTTACCATACAGATGCAATACATTGTATGTGAGTGCGGCTGACACTAGCTGACGTTGAAGAACTCAGGCCTTCCAGCAAATGATCAATAAGTTTACTATAAAGTGAGGCATTACATGACATCACCAAATGTGACAATGCCACTATTGTGCGCTTACGGACAGCCTGTAAGTGCAAATAAGTATAAATAAACATACTGAAAATATAACAGGACTAATATGTATTAGCCAGATAATTTATAAATTACAAATTCACTAATTTAAATATATTTTAGGTTAAAAAAATTGATTGATAGGGAAATAAGTAAACTTTTCCAACAATGTTGAGCACATTTTTCTCATTGCAATTAGGGCCTGCATTTTTCCCTAATAACATTGAATAATTTTAACTTGGTTTGGCAGTATAAGAATATCCACTAACATACATATCATCTACTAACCCATGGTAGTAAAAAACTGTAGTTATCAACTCGCCTGCCAATCGTGAAAAATATTCCCTCTATGGGGCCATGCATCCATAACAATCCACCAAAAGTAAACTGTTGTACATAGAGTTTCCTCATAGCTTATCTCATAGGGGAGATTATATCTTAGCTGCCATGCTTTGGCAGAATGGTTGCAAAACTGCAGTTTTTTTATTATTTTGAGTAGTTATCAGTAAGATATTACTGCCAATCCCTTTACAATTACACTCTATCCCCTGTTACAATACCAACTTGGTGATATGGTGCAGATTCTCTTACTGCCACAAACAGTAAAAAAATTATATATGACTGTAACAAGTGAATATTCAAATTTACTTCTATTGTTTATGTATAGATAGCTCTGTACACCAAACAACTTTATTAGATTTGCAACAAATATTATATTCTGCCACACACCAAATACTGAATATTCTACAGTCTTCCTGATGGAATAGCTGAATATTAGGCAAAAGTATTCAACTGGGAAGGAAGTAGTGTTTATTCTGAGCATTTTTTCTCTAAAGCTGGAATTGTCTATGAGAAGAAAAGGTGTAGACTACTGTCTGAAAATACAGAAAAAGTTGTATTTATGCACCACAATCTTCCACTTCTAAATTTTAGTTATGATATTTCAAGTGCATAGACATTTATCTAATAGTTTTTTGTTAATTTTTTTTCATATGGAAGTTGAGTATATACTTATGACTAGAGACGGGCCGAATATTTGTTTCATATTCAGTACCTATTTGACATATTCAGCAGCATTACTGAATATTCGTATTTGGCCAAATATTTGGCTAAATCATCGAACATTCGGTAAAGTGGTACTCAAAGTGTCCACTGTATTGAAATGTCGAATTGAGTAAATACCATGTCTTTCATAATTTTACTGTTGGAAGTATATTTTATTTATGAGTAAAATCTACTTGTATAGCATTATGTTTTTGAGGCACTGTAGATTTATTTCCAATTATAACAAATAAAAAGCTTGATAAAAATTTTTTGGAATCAAAAAAGTAACATTACATTAGTACATTTAACTTTACTTTGGTCGTCAGTTTCTCTAAAATAAGTCCAAATAGTAGACCTCTTGCCACTCAATTTTATCATATAATTATCAATTTTCACTAAGCATATCATAATGAAATACTTTTTTTACACAAAAATAGTCAAAACATAAGCATGTGCTGGCAATTTGCTCAGTACTAGATGATGCAATAACATGTCAGGTACGGCGTGGGAGTGAGGGCCAGGGTCCGGCGCTAATCCCACGTAGTTTACGGTTAAAAGTTTTGACATAAATTGGTTAGGTAACAAGTTGATCCTGCCAAATAATGTTCGATCATTTATTGGATCAGTAAAAGTTTTGCTAAACTTTTGGCCAAATATTCGTATTCAGTGAAACCCATATTCGGCCTATTTCTACTACTTAAATGATTAAAAGAAAAATACATTAGTATAAAATAAATCAATATTTTCATTTTACCAATTATCTGACTACAACAAAACTTCTTTCTTAAGTATTCCATATTCGGCCGAATAGTACTTAGATATTTGGTATTCAACCAAATAGGTTAAAAGTAGCTGAATAGTCCAAATACCGAATAATAGCCGAATATTTGTTGTAAGTCTTAATTTTTATATTACAAAACAACAAAGTGATTACCTGACGTGGTGATGAAAGTTGTGGTAGTAAAGAATTTAATAGCATCGGATGGAAAGATATCAATAGACCTCCAAATCTACTAAGCAAATCTGCCAATATATCAAGTGCTTCCAACTGCACAGATACATCTTCTTGCTGGATGAAAAAATAAAAACACCATTATCAAATGGAATAAAAACTGTTAATTAACAATGATTTATTGTATATAATATAATATTGTATTGTAATGGCAACACTGCGTCGGTTGTGAAGGAAGGTTCCATACGAGGTCCTCTCCATATTGTTGAGATATAAATAAAAAGCAAGTTTTTATGTTCCAAGTCTTACATCTTTAATTATCCCCATAATCCTTAACAGAACAACCAATTTACTTGAATTAAACAACATCATCATCCCCATAGTTTGCTTAAAAGAGTGGATATATTTACAATTTTTATTTTGTTGCAATGTTATGTGGGTGGGGTGTTGTATTTGGAATTGATAGAGTGTGGAATTTATGGTGTTCATGTTTTAAATTTCTAGTTGTTTGTAATATTATGTGGGTTGCGTACTTATTTAATTTATGTAATAAGATATAAGAGTGAATTTATTCACCAACAAACTGTCTTTACAGTTTGGCGAAGTTATGCACTTATGTAAAGGTTTTTTTGTATATGTCATTAAATAAAATATATAAAAATAAAATTAAACTTAAGTAATGCTAAAAAAGACAAAGAAACTTAAAACTTAGAAACATATATAGCAGATAAAATTTTTATACTGCACTGCTTACCTTTTCAATAGCACTGCTGAGTTTCCCAGTAATTTTTTTACAAACATTAGCAGCTAGTGTATTTGAGCCTAGTGGAAGTTCAGATATCACAGTTTTCAAGCCAATGCTGCTTATATCTCTTAACTGTTCAGTGTCTGACAGCATATTTGCACAAAGAGTTTCCACGATACCTTCTACTTGGAACTCCTTTACTTTGTTAACGAGAGGTCCAAGACTGTAAATACAAAAATGTCAAAAAACAATGAAACTGCTTTATAGTGTACAAATACGGAACAGAACTTTGAAATTACCATTTTACGGCTAGATTTTGAACTTCTCCATTTTTGTCTTCGAGTAAACGAAGCAACATTTTTACAACTTTTCTTTCGGAGTCATCGTCAAGCTTTATACTATCTTTCTGAAGTTCTGTCATCAAATCATTTGTAGCCATAAATCTGAAGTCTTTGTCGTTAGACGTCATCTAACAAAAGCAATGTTAAAATATTTAGTTTTCAAAGATAAAAAGCAGCAGATTCATATAACCAAAGTAATGAACAGCCGGTTACCTTCTCAAGCAGATTTGCTATTTGATATGATACACTGGCCATTTTGACTGTATTCAGATTTCAAATTATTATTTCAACTTAACAAATATAAAATAGATCAAATAATTATTCTATACACAAAAACACCAAAGTAGAACCATTTGGATAAATTCTAATAACCAACTTATAAGCCACAACGAAATAATCGAAAATGCTATTGCAATCAAATCTGACTTAGTGATGTTCGAATTCGATGATCATCAATGTTAAAAATAAAACATCGATGTTGCCACATGTCAAACATCGATGTCAATGAACCCATAATCGATTAATAGGAACCTCTGAAAATTGGGAACCCACGAAATCTATATCAACTAAATCTTGCATCTTCTATTAAAGGTTTAAAATTTAGAATAATTCATCACGCAGCGATCACCTAAAAATATCATTATGGTGTGTCAAACTTCACTGTCAAGTAAGAGTGGTCGTTACAAAACGTAACTAGTTACTGAAACTATCTATTCACACAATAGCGGGTAGCGGGTTATTGCAGTGCAACGAAACTATCTATTACAGTAGACGTTTTACTCAGTAACACGATTCATGTTTCACGAATCACGAACGAGCGATCGGCGTACGATCGGCGGCGAAAACGTTTATTCGGCTATTTTCGCGACGCATCGGCAACGGCCTCGTCTGTTGAAGTAGAAGCACATAAGTAAAGAAACTGACTCTTTCCGCTGTGGTAGAAGTACCACCCGTCGTCGAATGTCGAGTGAGCGCGGGTGCTTTTGCATTTGACCTATGACTCTATTCCCGTCGTATAGATGCGATATTAGAAATGAGAAGTAAGTGTGAAAAAAAATTGTTCAAATTCCATAATTTAAGTGACCTTGGCCCGGTTTAAATTAGTCTTGTATTTAAGTTTAATGACACGGTTTGTTTTTACTTTTTAGGCGCGTTTGTTAATATTTTTGTTTTCTTTTTGTGCAATAATAATAATATTTTTAGTAAAATAAGAACTAAATACAATTGCATATATTAGGGTTAATAATAATAATTGTACAGTAATTAGTGTAATTAACTAAGTGTAAAAATAATACTAAAACTTTATGTGATAGTCATCAAAAATATCTCGAAGTAATGCCAGTGTACTTTGGGACTTTTTTACAAAAGGTACTACAACCATGAAGACCAATATTCTATAAAAACATCAATACATGTATTAATTTGATTTATTACATAAAAATGTAGGCTTGTGATGTCTAAAAATAAGTACTGTAATAATTATTTGCTATAAAATCAAACTTATATTCAATATTTTATGCTGAACTTGTGGGTGAATTTATCATAATCATAATTATTAAATAAATCGTTTGCCGTTAAATATTTTCAAGTGATATTTTTATCAAACCGTGCGAAATGATTAAACAAATAAATAAATTTAACCGTTAACACCATGTCTAATTCTATACGAAACGGTAACAAACAAGTTTTCTCGTGAAACGGACATCTTTTCATTCGCAACGTTTTTCAATTAAACACGTCGTGAAACACTATTGAAGCCGCTATTAAAATAGAGTGTTTCAAAACCCTCTATTAAAATAGAGTGTTTCAAAAGCCGCTATTGATATTCGATAGATAGTTTCGTTTCGTTACTCAAAAAAGCCGCTACTACCCACCGCTACTGTCAAGTGTGAATTGTAATGTCACAGTTGTCACTGCTTTCGCTTTGTTATTCTGTAGTAACATTGTCGGTTGTCGCCTGACAACTATTCTACGTACAATGATATTCTAAGAATTGGTTTTCCCTTACTGTCTATACCCACATAATTTTGAAACAATATGTAAGTATCTACACAATTCAATTACATTTAGCTGAATTTTTTAAGCTTATCATAACGAGTTTATTTTTTACTTGAACTTGAAGTTTATTAAAATAGATCACTGAACGAGCGTAAGCATAAACAATTTCACTGCATAGCTACATACATACTACATAGCTATACCTACTGTTTGGGCTGTCTGATTAAAATTTGTGAACAAAGGTAACGGAAAAGTCCATTAGTTAGTTTTTGTGTGGTTTGTTAACTTTTTCTCTAAAACCATATTTTTTTATCGCGATATAAGTATTTGATAAAAAAACTAAGTCCAAGTCGTAAATTAGGTCCCATAGTAAATTTTTCATACCAGATTTGTGAATGTGTAGAACATTGTGTAAAAATCGATCAAGATAGTAACATTCATCATGATCGACAAAAAATATTAGACTATAATATTATAACAAATGAACTAGAAAATTGTTAACTTCTTCCCATTTTTAAATTTCTGACACTAAACCATAAACCACATGACTAATTTTTTTATTTATCTTCTATTAAATAAGTACACGTGCAAAACATCGATAATGGCCAACATCGATGTTGTGAGCAGGATAAACATCGGACATCGATGTTAATCTATCGATACCAACATCGATGCCATCATCGATGTTTGTGCAACATCGAGCATCCCTAATCCGACTGATCCGCTGAACTCAACTCAAAGAGTATTGTTATCGTAAAAATCGAGGAACATACTACTCTCTTGGTAAAAATCAGACCTGCCGACTGCCGTAGGTATGTCACAGTCTGTTTTTTTTTGCCCAGGCATGCTGTGTTAAGAAAATACAAATTGCCGTATTTATTTATAGTTCTTTACAATGTAGGTTAAATTACTCATGGAGGTTAGAAAACAGGAGAACGATCGCTGTAGAAAATAGTGTCCCAGAAATATGGACAAAATAAGTGAAGCGCAGTGATCGCTGAGTTGTTTCAATAAAAGCGAGCTGTTGTGCGCAATTTGAAATGATTATAATATAAATCAGAGAAAAAAAAGAAAAAAAATTAAATTATTATTATTTATTATTTAGGGGTATCTATATAATTTTCTCATCTGGTTGGGTTCCATAAATATATAATTGCGAACGAAAATGATAAATATACATAAAAAACAATAACATAAAATAAATACATATAAAATACATAAATAAATAAAAGCCCAACCAGATGGAAGCCCTCGGCAGGGGAGACCAAACAGCCGAGGACTTTTCTATCCAGGGCGTTAAGTTCAGTCTGAGTCCACCTAAGTATGCCAAAGGTTTACATGAGTACAGGCATGACCCAACCGTTATATGCTTGTTTCTTATTCACACTGGACAAAAGGCTGTTAAGCACTTTGGTCAAGCGTGCATAAAACACGTCGCAAACAGACTATTTCATACCAGCCTCATCGATACCGATGTTCTGTGACATACCCCGGTATCGGTGGGTTTCAGCCTCGGAAAGTGTAATCAAGTTGACGGGCATAGATAAGTCTATGCCCTCAGAGTTAGCAACCCTTCCCCTTTCAACATGGAGGACCGCACACGTATCCGTTCCCAGCTCCATTCCAATAGAACTGTTAAATTCACAAGTGATATTTAGCAATTCCATAAGATGGGAGCGACTGGAAGCGAATAACTTCAGGTCATTCATATAGAAAAGGTGGGTCACTTTTGTACCTCTTTTCCGAAGCTGAAATCCCCTCCAGAGAGGCACAACCAGATTGGACTCAGACAATTGCCCTGGAAGATACACCTTCTTATCCTTATGCGGCTTTCCACAGCCGTCATCCGCTCACCCAGATGACAGAGGATCGTACTCCACTGCCCCATACATTGCTCGAGAAAGTCTAACTGTACAGTCAATCTTGTACAGTACTCGAGGACCCTCTTTAGCCATGTGTGGGGAACCGAGTCGAATGCCTTTCTGTAGTCTATCCAAGCAGCGGAGAAGTTCCGACGGTTGCGTTTCACCAATTTGCCAATGACCGCGTCTATGAGGAGTGGTTCCTTGGTTCCACGACCACCGCCCCGACATCAATTTTGAGCACGCGACATCACCTGATTTGAGTCCAGATGACGTGTTATTCTCGCGCTCCAAATGGATGTTATTTATTATTATTATTAGTATTTTTTAATAAATAAATTACGTTTTTTATAATTTTAATTATTATAAATTATTACAAATATAAATTATTTATTATTACTGGTTTATTAATATTATTATTTTTTATAATATTTCTCCACTTTTTAATGTTTCTTTTTTGTCAAAAATTAAAAAATTACTTCGCAGATACTACTCAACGACGGCACCGCGGTTATAAATTCTACAAGGACATGTGGGCTATGCTTTAGCACGTAGCGATCGTCGTCATGTTCTCTAACCTCCATGATATAGCTTGAATAGAATGACAGCTGTCATCAAAAGTGAGGGCATAATTTTGTAGTAGCATCCAACGTAAAGAGTGATTTCATTAATATTGGAAAAAAAAATCATTAATACCTGGCGAGTGAACAATATTTTTGATGACAGTCCTTCACTTAAAAACGTGCATAACACATAAATTCGGCTGTAAAATTAAACCCGCTAATATTAATACATTATCACAAAAAATAAGCCTAATAATGTATTACTACCTTACAAGTTTACCCCAAAGTTGCAAAAATGTTAGAGATGGGACAAATCGACAAATGCGAATTTATTAAATTAAAATAAATTTATCTTAATTATTGTTTCAGAAAAAATGTTTCCTTTCAAAAAAAATCATGCGTTTGTTTTTTTAAATATTGGTAACACTGAGTACATTCAGTCGCTATTCTGTTTGTTTGAGCGTCAGACAGTACAGCATAGAGTACCTTTGTATAAACTGAAAAGTACGAGTGCCTGCGAGTGCCGACGACAGTAGTCTTGTGCCTGCTCGTTCATTTTAAACATCGATCCGTACTAGTTCATTTCGGACAGTAAACTTGTTCGTTCTATAAGCTCTATTCAGTCATCAGTACTAATAAGCAGTTTCAATTGCAACTGTAAGTATGGAATAGCTATCTCAGTCGGTTAATATCTGCTCGAGTCGTAATGCTATTTGATATGTATCAAATATAATACGATATCGTATACACACACACACACACACACACACACACACACACACACACACACACACACACACCACACAACACACACACACACACACACACATAC